TCTCTGCGCCTTGTTTTGTCTCTCCCTCTTCTCTATTTATCTCTCTTCTATTCTTTTCTTTGCTGTTCTATTGAAATTGGATTCCCTGTATCTCTCCTCTGTCCTTCTCTCTCGCTCCTCTTCTCCTGTTCCCCTCTAAACGATTGCTCTTTACAGATAGGTGCCCTCCCTCCTCTTCAGGAAATCTCTTTTTCGCTTATTTTGCTTTTTGAAGCGAATAAAACAACGGATAAGAGAGGAAAGGGAATGACTAAGTAAAGACAGGAGCTCTTCAATAGGTGCCCTCCCTCCTCTTCAGGAAATCTCTTTTCCCTTATTTTGCTTTTTGAAGCGAAGAAAACAACAGATAAAAAGAGAGGAAAGGGAATGACTAAGTAAAGAGAGGAGCTCTTCAATTTCCCTCCCTATATCTGATGTTACTTTTCCTTCTTGGGTGGTGCCCTTCTTTCTCCCTTGAAGATGCAGAAAACGATCAGGAACACCCGTTCCATCGCCCATATATAGACAGAGATAAATCATGAGCATCAGCTGGGTTTGCTGCCGATCCAAAATGGGCGTCCCTTTTAATCGCTTTCTGTGTCTTGAAACGAGCAAAAGGGACACCCTTACTAAGTGTTTTCTTGTGGTGTCCCTTTTCTTCGCTTGAAGATGCAGAAAACGATCCAAGAAGGACACCCGTTCCATCGCCCATATATAGACAGAGATAAATCATGAGCATCGGCTGGGTTTGCTGCCGATCCAAAATGGGCGTCCCTTTTAATCGCTTTCTGTTTCTTGAAACGAGCAAAAGGGACACCCTAAGTGTTTCTTGTGGTGTCCCTTTTCTTCGCTTGAAGATGCAGAAAACGATCCAAGAAGGACACCCGTTCCATCGCCCATATATGGGGGGGGAGAGAAATCATGAGCATCAGCTGGGTTTGCTGCCAATCCAAAATGGGCGTCCCTTTTAATCGCTTGCTGTGTCTTCAAACGAGCAAAAGGGACACCCTAAGTGCTTTCTTGTGGGGTGTCCCTTTTCCTCGCTTGAAGATGCAGAAAACGATCAAAAAGGAAACCCATTCCATCGCCCATATATAGGGAGAGAGAGGTTGGCTGCCAATCCAAAATGGACGTCCCTTTTAATCGCTTTCTGTGTCTTCAAACGAACAAAAGAAAACACTTAGGTTCCTCACTTGAAGATGCAGGAAACGGCCCAACAAGGACACCCGTTCCATCGCCCATATATGGAGAGAGAGAGAGAGAGAGAGAGAGAGAGAGGGAGAAAGGAAAAAATCATGAGCATCAGCTGGGTTTGCTTACATGTTCATTGTTATTCCTTTTGTTTTTTCTAACGGAAATGAACAAGAGAAGAGAAAAATAAGAACCAGAGGAAAGATGAAAACGAGCACCATCTTCTCTTTGCCTGATTTTTGCATTTCGCCTGTCCTCATTTCTCTTCCATTCTTTTCATTGCTCTTCCATTTAGAGTTGCATTCCTTTTGATCTCTCCTCTTTCCTTTCTCTCTTTCTCCCTTCTCTTCTCTTGTTCTCCTTTAAATCTCAAAAACACACAAAAGGAAGCTTCTTTTCCTTGTTGAATGAAGAATGAAAAAAGAAGAAAAGAGATAGGGAAAGAAATTGAAGAGCTCCATTGCCTATTGGTTCATTCCATTTCCTCTCTTTCTATGTGTTGTTTTCCTTGTCGTTTCAGAAGGCAAGCAAAATAAGGGCAAGGGGGCTTCCTGAAGAAGAGAGAGGGCACCTATCTGCGAAGAGGTCTTGTCCTTTTTAATAATAGAGGGAAAAGGGAGAGACAAGGAAGGGAGAGATGATAGATAAAGAAGAGTGCCATCTTCTTTGCGCCTTGTTGTGTTCCTCCGTCTCCTTGTTTCTTGTCTCCTCTCTTCTGTTCAGTACCCTTCCAGAAAATTAAAATGGCCTCCTTTTTGTCTCTCCTCTCTCACTTCCCGTTCCCTTCTCTCCTTCTGTTTCCGTTTAACTGATAAAACACAAGAAAAGAACTTGAATGATAAAGCCTAGGAAGGTAAGGGAGATAAGGGAGACAGGATAGATAAAGAAGAGTGCCATCTTCTCAGCGCCTCGTTTTGTCTCTCCCTCTTCTCTATTCATCTCTCTTCTATTCTTTTCTTTGCTATTCCACTGAAATTGGATTCCTGTTCTCTCTCCCCTCTCCTTCTCTCTCCCTCCTCTTCTCCTGTTCCCCTCTAAATGACAAAAACACAAGAAAGGAAGAACAAGTGGGGAATGGAAGCCCTTTTCCTGTCTTCTCCTGTTGCAATAAAGAAGGAAAAGAGCATAGGAGATAAGGAAGGGAATTGAAGAGCTCCTCTCGCTACTTTATCATGCCCTTTCCTTTCTATCTACCACACCAAAACACGACTCTCAGCTTCCAAATAGACCCTATTTAAGCCACCCACGGGGGGGGGGTGGGGAGGGCTTCGGGTGAATACCGAACCATCCATGGTAGTACCATTTTCAAGATGACCATATTTCCCATGTTCTAGTAACCATAATCTTCAAGTACGAGAGGGGCCTTAACAATTAGAATAGGGTTTTGGGGGGTGAGTATAGTATATACAGTATAATCATACAGGGCTATACAGCAAAACTGGAAATACTGCCCGGCCCCTATAGTAGGGTGTTAGTTAGGGTGCAGCTTTGAGATGCACATGAATCACCAACTGCAGGTGAGCAACGAGTTTCGACCACACGGGCATGGCTTCTCTTGGTCCACGCACAGCTTCCAGCTCGTCTCAGGCACACCTGCTTAAGCTCCTATAGGGGTTCTCAGCACCTCCAACAAAGTTGGTCCAACAACTACAGTACGTGCCACGAGTGGCTCAAGACTTGATGTAGGAGTGTCAGCTGCTGTCATGGTTTCATGTTTCTATTCGTATGATTTTCTGAACTGGGCGTCTCTGGAATGGGCCGTCTGCATACATGCATATGCATCTTTCTTGGAGACTTTCCGTTTTGTGGAGGAAGCTGTGCTGCATTTCACAATTGCACTGGCTCTTTTGTCGTTGTAGTTGGATGGGTGCCCCTCCTCTTTGGGTGCTTCTTTTCTGCTGGGTTTCGTTCTTGCTGTGCCTATAATTTCTTGTTCTGATTTCCATGACACTGGGCAACCAGCAAATCAGCTTGCTGGTGTATTTGGCACCATGCAGGACACCGTGGTGTTGAGGCTTACGACATGATGGACAACAGGCAGGGAGAACGCTCTCTACCCTTCACTGCCCTGAACATGTTCGGCCCCGCTATGTGGTGCTGCGCCACAGTCAGCTGATTTCCAGCAGACTCATTTCAACACTGACTGCCGCCTACAGATGCCCTGAAACTCCGGTCCCAAGTCCGGGGGCCATCATATTTGCCTTGCTGATGGCTGGCGTGAGGGTTTCCTCTGGGCCCCCCGCAGAGGAAGGACCACCCACCGTGACTAGTACGGAGTTTGCCGCGGTCTTCAACGGGGGCCTCCTCTGCACTGCATCGGGTGGTATGGGGTCGTGCCGGCGGTGCTCTGATGCAGCTCCGGACAGTCCTCCTGGCTTTCGATTACCTTTGGATGATTCTCTTTTTGGCCGCCGCGGGACGATGTGCCAATGTGCCTGCCGGCCTGGCGGCTACATTCACAAAGAAAGCGGTGCCTTCCTCAGTTCCTCTCCTGCAGCTTGTTCGGCGACTCTTACGGGACAGCCTGTCCTCTCTGAGTGGACTTCTGGGGAGCAGAAACCATGTGGTTTCGTAGTCCTAGGCCTGCGTTTTTGTTCTTGTACAGGTTTTTGGGTGTTGCTGCTCACGGTGTATGAGCCTGTCGAGTGAGTAAACGCGAGAAAGCACCAGCCAGTCTAGTCGGGATCTTCGTGTCACTAGCCTGCTGCCGGACCACCAGGTGGGCACTCAAATTTGTCAAAGAGTGCAGCACCCGCTGGAGCTATGACACCTAGCGGGCGTTGGAATATAAAAAATGGTTCAACAACCTTTGGTCGGCGCCCGGGGCCCTCCCTAAATCTCATACCCGAAGGTCCAACCACAAGTGGCACATCCGGAGAGCTTCGTCTGCTTGGAGGTTCAGGGTACTTACAAAACCCCAGCTATGACTGTACTTATCAACCCCCTGAGTCCCCTAAGTAGGTTAGAAGTAGAACTTATAATTGGGGCTATAAGTAGCCATGACCCTAAACGTTAAAACCCTAAACCGACCGGTATGAAGGCCTGTCTCGCTGTACTCCGTCAGCTCGCAGGTCTTCTGCCTCCGCTTCCGGGATCGACGATTTTCGTGGTTTTTTCAAGGCGCAGGAACTTTGGGTCCAGGATTCAGGGCGGCCGTGTATGGTTTAGGGTTTAGGGTCAGGCTTTCGGTTTAGGAGGGTTTAGGAAGGCGCTCGAAACACCGGAGCGCTTTTGAAGAGGAATGGGGTCTGGGTCGTGGGTTGTATTTACAAGGACTGTTAGTATGGGCCCTTATCAAGAGGCCCTCAGAGCATTAGGCGCCAGCTTGTCTGCAATTCCAGCCGGCCACCCATCATCCCTTAGCAGAGTCGGGTCCTCTGAGCCGCCAGAACGTTCTGAATCCAAAGTCAGACTAAATCCTCAACCCTTATCCCAAATTGAAAGCCTGCAGCGCAAGAAACGAGTGCTCGGGCGAAGCAACTTCGGGTGCTTTAGGGGTGCTGAATGGATGGGCCCCATCCTGAAATTGCCAGCAGGGAATTCCTGGATAAGGAACTTTATCGTAGAAAGCTGCCCGCGTCTCTGTGTGCGCCAAGATGCCACGGGTCACAAGGGCAAATCGCTTCCTTGATCGACCTTTGTTGAGGATTCGACAACTCACAGCCCAACCAACCGCTGGAAATCCCAAACAGCACTTGCTCCGACATCCTCAACCTTGAGCGTTAAACACTTCAACCACCAGCAACAGCCCACCAGCAGCAGCCCATCACAGTGCAAGCCCCAAATCCTGCACCTGGAACCTCCAACTCTTAGCTCCCTTACAGGCTGCCTCTGCAAGAAAGGGCCCACAATTCCCCAAACCCTAAACCCTAAACCCCGCATTGGCAGAGTCCCGATTGCGTTGGTCTTTTCATTCATTGCCTTTGTGGATTCGGGTATTTCTCCCACAAATTGGAGGGGGGGGCGGTCGGGTACCTCCCCCCCCATATACCCCAAGATACAAAGCTCCTTATTAAGGGAACCCCCAAAAACGGGTTTCCCCCCCATTTTCGGAAACCCGCAACTTGCAGTTGCATTTCGAGTTTGGCCGGGCAGCTCGGGCAAGCAGACTTCCGTTCCGGGACAGCGGTGCGTGTTGGCGCCACACGGGCATGGTTCGGTCGGCAGCCAGCAGATCTCCCGGTAACCTGGAGAAGAAGCCCTAAACCACCTAAACCCTAAACCCTAAACCCTAAACCCTAAGATTCTCGGAGGGAGTTTAGAGGGAGGCACAGGGCTTGACACCTGCCAAACCCTAAACCCTAAACCCTAAACCCTAAACCCTAAACCCTGGTGGTATGATCAGTGCACGTCACTTTTAACTTACGTCCCGGCCGGGCACCTGTCAGCTGGCCATCGGGCCCGTAGTCGGTCAGCACGCAGAGCTTCTGGTCGTAGGTGCAGCAGGCAGCACCCTTCGAAGTTCGTGTGGGAGGAGGGCAGGAAAAAAGGGTGATCAGTGATTAGCAGACGGCCCAAAGGATGCCTGGGGTTTTCGGGAATCCGACAGGCCACAGGTTTTTACTTCAGATTCTCAGATGGGCCGGGGGTAGAAAGGCCCCAGGCTCCCTTCCCCTAAGCCCTAAGCCCTAAGCCCTAAGCCCTAAGCCCTAAGCCCTAAGCCCTAAGCCCTAAGCCCTAAGCCCTAAGCCCTAAGCCCTAAACCCTAAACCCTCACCATACGACGCCTTGAAGATGCAGCGTCCCAGGGAGTCGCACATCTGCGCTTCCCGCCCGCAGGGGCAGTCCAGTAAGCTGCTGGCACACTTGCGGACGGGCTCGACCCAACCTCCGCTCTCCGGGCCACTCCTAGAAGGCTCTGGTTCCCCTAAACCCTAAACCCTGAACCCTAAACCCTAAACCCTAAACCCCTAAACCCCTAAACCCCTAAACCCTAAACCCTAAACCCTAAACCCTAAACCCTAAACCCTAAACCCTAAACCCTAAGCTGCAAACCTCCCGGCAAGGAACCCCTGGGCTATGGCCTGAACAGCTTGGGTCTTGGATTTTTGGGACTATCCTAAAATTTTCTGTGAAGCTTTGCTCTGAGCCTTTAACCCTTTGCAGCTTTGGGGCACCGAAATCCATCCCCAAACTCTGGCAACAGAACTTTCGGGCTGTCAGTGCTTGGGCTTAGGGCTCATAGGGGTCATAGGGTTCATATAGGGTTCATACAGGGTTCATATAGGGGGTTCATATAGGGGGTTCATATATAGGGTTCATATAGGGTTCATATGGGGTTCATATAGGGTTCATATAGGGGGGTTCATAGGGTGCACAGGGTTCCTAGGGCTTTATTTATTCTACTAGAGAAAAAGCACTTTCAGAGTCAGTCTCTTGCAGGCGGGCCACCCTCTGCTGGGACTTGGGTGCCATTTGGCTGGAAATTGAGTACATGCGGGCACTCAACTTCATCAGCCAAGCACTGCGGGCAGTATCCTGCCACACAGTGGATAGCTGAGACTTCCGAATCCGCAGCATGACTCACCAACCGCCCACCCGGTTCAGCAAACTCAGTCTTGCCCAGCGCACCTCCGACGATGGGGAGACATTGGGTTAGGTTTCCGTCCTTGGCTGGGAGCTGTCGATTCAAAAGCTGCAAGCTGCAAACTTTCCAGCCGAAACGCTAAGTTACCAAACCCGACAAACCCTACAAACCCTACAAACCCTACAAATCCTGTAAACCCTGCAAATCCCAAAACCCTAAAGACCCCAAACCCACTAAAGCCTGAACCCTGAACCCTGAACCCTCAACGCCGTCTGGGGCCGAGCCGCTGTGTCGCATGCGAATGAGTTTTGCCCGCAGCCGCACGCGAGTCCTTTTAACACCTGAGCTGGTCATCGGCTGTCGCACCCAAACCCTCAAGGTTTAGGGTTTAGGGTTTAGGGTTTGGGGTTTAGGGTTTGGGGTTTAGGGTTTAACTCACATCTAGGACTTCAGGATTGAAGAGGGCACCAAAAACCACCTTTTTAGGAGAGGTGAGTGTTTACATGGTGCCTGAAGCCCCGTCTTGAGAAAGCGAGCAGGACATCTCACCCCATCCCTTACCGCATCTCGCAAGAAGCAGCATGCAGCATATGCCACACACTGAGATGCAGCCTTCTCATGTGGGGGTTTAAGCGATTAGGGGGTTCCTAGAATATGGATTATACTATTTTGGGTATGTTCAGGGTACCCCTATTGGGGGACATATCCATGTGGAGCTTGCTATCATTGCTTAGGAAATATCTCTGGCATCACCCCTGTCGACATCTGCAGGGTGTCAGTGCCGAATTTTCGCTGGGGGCATATCTTCGTCAAGAATGGTCAAAGGAGCTTTGCTGGGGTTTGCCGTGAGGGTCCATGTACACGAATAGGGCAAGCTTGAGCCTTTTAAATTGCTTCCGATGAAAGCTCTTTTGGAGCCCTTAGATATCTGGTTCCCAATTCTAGGGTTCGTATGAGCTCAATGAACATCCACCTGGCTCGTCGAAGGGGGGCAAAGATGCAAGAGAACGCCCAAGCATTCTCAGCCTGAGCGCATACGAGGATTTAGGGGTCTTTTGAACCCTAAACCTTAAACCCCAAACCCTAAACCCTAAACCCGAAATCCCAAAGACCTTCTGCTGAGGCTCGCAGGTCTCCTCCGGAGGGAGGTGGTTGCCCTCAGCGTCGAAACCTGCGGCCCACCTAAACATGACCCCTATCAACCTTAGAAACCCTATTTTGAACCCTATAAAACCCTATTATGGACCCTACAAAGCCTGTTTAGGGTTTCGGGTTCAGCTTAGGGTGGGTTTTTTCAGGGTTCCATTTTGGGAGTCCTTTTCGAGGATGCTGCTGCTATGCTTATAGGCGTCAACGGGTTGCGCAGACTGATGCTTCGAATGCAAGAAGAATCAAACTACAGCTGACATTCTGCCAGTCCCTAATCATATAATCCCACCTTGCATTCATGTTCTCAAACTCGCAACCTGCCCGAAAGTGCCCTCAGAAACGGCTTAGAAGTGTAGCCAAGCTTTCAGGAGGGGGTCTGGGGGTTCCTGGTGCTGCTTTTGACTCTGCGGATGTTTTAGTGTTTGTAGGCAAGTGAGTTTCTTGGCTTGTCAGGTATCGACCAGGCGGAGGGGTATGGGAGTATGGAGCATTAGTGGTCTTGGATAGGGTGGAGGGCCGGCTTTCAAAAGCGACAGCCAATTTCAACCTCAAGTCAGGCGGCCTGGGCGATAGCACGGCTCTTCGTCCTCACCGCAAACTATGGGGCATCGCCCAAGACCTCACAAGGAGACAGCTTGTCTGTATTTCTCTGAAGCCAACTGCTGTCCAAGCTGGCCGGGAAAGACTTGACTGGTTCAACAACACTACGCATGCAGGAGTTCCATCCTGCTTTGTTCAGGAGAAGCCGGGAACCTGAAGTTTGCAATGTTCATGGACACTGAAGCATTGCTATGCCACTAGGTTCACCCAAGAGAGAGCGCAAAAGACCACTTCTCAAAGGAGGCATTCTAAGCACCCCGTGGGCACTCCAAGAGCACAGCAGGATGAAAACCCCCAAAAAGTACAGGCCCAAAAAACCCTCAGAGACCACTTCGCTAGACCCAAGAGTAGGAAAATCGGGTACCCTTTTTAAAAAATAACTCCCCAAAGAGGGTTTAGGGCTTCGGGTTTAGGATAAGTCCCCAAAGAGAGGAACTGGGGGTACTACTTACTACTGGGTATCCTAGAGAGATCGTGCTGACTAGGTGAGGGCTGCCATGCTGGAAGCAGCTGGGTGCAGGACGTGGAAGGCAATACGAGTCCTGCTCAGAGGCTTGTTGGGTCACTGCCGGGGGTGGCATGTGGGGTTCCTACAGACACATGCCGGCCATTTCCGAACAGGGTTAGGGTTTAGGGTTTAGGGTTTAGGGTTTAGGGTTTAGGGTTTAGGGTTTAGGGTTTAGGGTTTAGGGTTTAGGGTTTAGGGTTTAGGGTTTGGGAAAAGGAGCGTCCTCCCCCACGTCGATACAGCTGATAGCATTCGATCCACAAGGACAGTCTTCATCTTCGGAAGAGCTCGCGCATTCTTCACGAACCGCTCCAATCTCACCACCGAGATTGTAATCCTAAGCTAAGCTTGCTCCGCAGCGAATGCTGCGAATGCTCTTTGCATCGTGGTGGGCGATTTTGTACTAGGATCAACCTCTTCCTTGCAGACCACATGAACTCCAAAATTGGGATCATCTACCCTCTGCTATACTCCCTATTCGGTTCACAAGCCACTTTAAGGGTTCATTTCGTCACGGTCGTAGAAGGCTTAGCTGATCCACAAAACACAGCAACATGCACTTGCCGAGTGGCGACAATCACGCACGTCTTGTTGCCCACGCAAACGAGAGGGCAGGAATCAGCTGCGGGCAGGCACTCTTGCTGTTGCCGCCTCGGCCGTCACCCTGCGCTCGTGAACACGTGCATCCTTTCCGACTCTTCCCCCAACTTGATGCAACTCAGCTCGGGTCCCCGAAGCATCCTCGGTTTGGAAAAAGCAAGTCTCACCATTGAACGGGCACCATCATGGTCCTTCCACTTTTAAACGGGACAAGTCACGGTCCAGTTGCAGACTTGAGCATTCTCCCCACACTGGCATGGCCTGGGATGCGCTGGCCGACCAGTCTCCCATTTCTCCCACAACCCCCCCCCCCCCCCCGCTTCCCCTCTCAAACAAAGCCAAAACCCTCTAAGAGCCGGACTGGGAAAGGGGGACACAAGTCGCTTCAGTCGGAATTGCTGGGTTGTAGCTACCTCAGCACAGTTGGGAAGCGTCAGGGTCAGGCATTCCGCGGAAGGCTTCCGGACTTGGCCCCCCCGCCATCAACGGTGAAAGACAGGGCGTAGCACCAGCGATGCGTCAGGAGGTCGCACGTCTGACATCCCTCACTTTCCTGGGCTTCCGAATATCCCTAACAAAGCCCTACACCTGACACCCGAAACCGCCACAGATCTTTTGCTAGATTCTGACTTAAGTACAGCCTTGGGAACGAAAGGTACCCCCAAAACGGGTCTAAAGTCCATATTACCCGAATCGGGATTACAGCAGCAGTTGGGGGTTCTGAGCGGGCACTTAAGCCCTGGGGCCTTGGGGCGCGAGTTGTTTAGGGTTAGGGCTTAGGATGAAACTTGAAGATTTAAAGGGTGTAGGGAGTTTTGGAAACATTCCCCGCAAGGCCACATGGCATCTTGAAGCATGGCGCGGGAACGCAATGCTCGTCGTCGCAACGAACAGCTTTGTCTCCACAGGGGCACGCCTCGTTCTTTGAAACACCTGAGCGTGCGAGATAGGTTTGCGTTCATGGTGTTTTTTGGGAGTTTTTTCTAGTGTCCTCAAGAAGACAGCCAACGTATACCCTCACCAAATCTGTAAGGCTTTCACAGGCAGTTGAAAAATCAACAACACACGCACATACACACGCGCGCACGCGCTCACCAACAGCCTGAAAACAATCTTACTTCAGAAAGTCTATTTCCCAAAAGGCGGGTCGGGTGGTTGACGTTGAGCCATCTACAGCTATCGGGGACCCAGTATCAGGATATCCCGCAGCTTTCGGGGGCCTATAAGACTAGCGTCACACGGTGGAAGAAGCCAGCACTCTGCCCTGATCATCGAAGTTATCCTTGGCTTCTCCAAACGATGGAGCTGAAGTGCGATTCAGGTTTAACCCTAAACCCAAAGCCCTAAACCCTCGGTTTAGGCTTTGAATAACCACAACAAAGTCTCCTGGAGACCCGCTTCGAGCTGCTGACTTTGCTAGGTGACACTGACAACTAGTGCTTCGAGGTGTTTAGGGTTTACTCCAGGGTTTCGGTTTAGGATTCAATTTCGGAATTCTAGCCAGGAGCGACGGGAAAGCGCAGAGCCCACCAACAATGGCAAGGCTCCACACTGCACTCGTCCTGTCCCTGGCAGAACTGAGGACAATCAGCATCGCGAGGCACACAGATTTCCCCGAACGGCCCAGTACACCTCAGGGGAGTTTGTAGGTTTTTGGAGTTGGGTTGTGCGGCTGATGAAGCTTTGAACAGGCTATTCGCCTCGACCTCCGGCCGCGAGGCGTCTGGAACAAGCATGGGGCTTTCTTCCCCCCGGGGTACTCTTCCTTCCTGCGAACTGCCCCCCTCAGAACCTCCCCCTGCCTGGGCCTCGAGGAGGCGCGCGCAAGCGTTCACAATTCGGAGAATAGACGATGACCCGTATTGCCATGACTATCATTTCGCTATTGCTAGTATTGCTACTAGCCATGAACCTACTATGACAAGATAATTCCCATGAAAACTACGGTCAGAATCACTATGTATATTTCAAATTATTGTCAACTCTCGTCGTCGTTGCCAGTGGTGGTGGTGGTGGAGGTGGTGGAGGTGGTGGTGGTGGGGGTGGTGGGGGTGGCGTGGTAGGAGTAGCCCAGGGCGTAAAAGCCCAAACTTACATGAGCGAATCAAGCCCAAAAACCCTGCAAGGCAGTGACGTGGAGATGTTGAACTCGATTTGTAATGGTAATGGAAACCCACAACACCTAACACCCAAAGCCCAAAAAACCCAGAAAGGGGTCTTGAGCGGAGGAACATTTTGGCCGTGCCCTCGTCGCACCACAAACTTGGGCACGCGGTAGAATCGGAGCAACCCTGTGTGACATACCTCGGCTTTTTGGGGTTTCGGGATCTTGGGGTTTGAACTTCTTGGAGTTGAAAGTTCAGGGCGGCTTATGGTTTAGGGTTGCCCGTGCGGGTGAGGGTAGAGGTTCTCGAGAAATCCGAAACCCCAAGCCCTGCTTCCCGAAGCAGTGATCCCCCTAAACCCTAAACCCCAAACCCTCAACTGCTCTCCACTTGGCAGCCCTCCGCCAGGATGCTGCGAGCCTCCCTCGAAGTAGGTCATGGTGCCTTACTGACAGAGTTGTTTCTTGGGAATGGCTCAGTTTTGAGTATTAAAGGTGCTGTGTAGGACCCTCGAATCGTACCTAAACCCTAAAACCCCAAACCCGGAAGCCTAAGCCCGGAGAATTGCTACAACAAAGGCTATCGACCTCAACGAGGTGCAGCTGAGCTGGCTCTCCGTGCACACCTTCGGGCAGCCATCGTACCAAGCCTTCGGGTCTTGCGGGATTTTCAGAGTTCAAGCTGCAGGTTTTCGGAGCTATTGCTATCAGAATGCTGTTTCGGCCGGAATGGCCACATAGACGCTTCAAGCTGGCCAACTCTGATTGGCTTCGCCAATCAGATGCCTGTAAATTTATTTATGATTTTCGTATGCCTGAATAGGGCTGCACTTGTTACAGCGGAGCGGATTCCAAATTCAGGCTTCGTTTGCCCCCAGAAGGTTGGTAGCTTTTCGGAATTCGCACCTTCGCGTAGCAGACATACCGGCCGGTGTCCTCCAAACTGCAGCAAGATCCGCTCGTAGAACTGACCCTCGAACATGCAATATCGGAGCCTACGTTGTTACCAACATGTTCCTTTGCAACACTTACATACTCATAATATAATCTACCAACAATTGCATTCTAATCCAACAGCACTCAACCATGACAGCCCCGACATTCAACTCTAAAACCCCGTCCTTGTCCAGGCACCGATGCTCGTTGTCTTCGCAGCTACACCCAGCGGTGCTGGCGCAGCTCCTGTTGCCTCGAGAAGCAATAGGCTGGAGCATCGGTGAAATGAATGGACCCTAAAGGGGCTTCAGTTTAAAGCAGCACCGGGGGTATGCGATCTCGACTATAGTCCTTACTTTGTCAGGATTGAGGGTTTCGGATGTCAGGATTGTCGCCTTGAGCCAGTGAAGTTCAAAACCCAAAAGTTTCAGGACGACTTCAAATTCACAGCCAGTCATTCCCGGGTCTCAACCCTCATCCCTGAACCCTAAACCTAAAACCTAAACTTCTGCAAAGGAAGCCCCAGGGCCCTCATCGTCACTGCTGCAGCTCAAGACCCGCATTTTCACTAGATCTTCTGCTGAGATTTCCGAAGGGCCCTGCTAGGGTTTAGGGTTTAGGCTTCCTGTTCTGGGCCAAACATTCGACATCCCCAACAACGCTGAACCTTTCAACCTTCCCAGCCCGATAAGCCTAAAAGCCACGTCAGCCCTAAAACCCTGTACGCCTTTGCCTACCCTAGGAACCCTCAACCTCGAAAAGGAAGCAGAGGCACCAAAACCCTGAACCCCAAACCCTAAACCCTAAATCCTAAACCCTATCAAACCCTAAACCCTAAACCCCAAACCCCAAACCCGAAGCCCCAAGTCCTATGAACCCTCATTAAGCCCCCCTTGAAAGGAAGAGGCGGGTGCCTGAAGCATGGAAACAGACCGCAGACTGGCAATTTAGCGGACCTCGGCTTCAGCAACCCATATGGGTTTAGGGTTTAGGGTTTAGGGTTTAGGGTTTAGGGTTTAGGGTTTAGGGTTTAGGGTTTAGGGATACCTCTCGGGACACCCACTCGGGTTTCAGGGTTTAGGGTTTCGCGTTTGAGGGTTTTGGAGGCTTACGCTGTCACAGAATTTCGATGGGGCTTGGGTCCAAAAAAACAAATGTTGACCCACAGTTTTGACCGAAACGTTTTGACAGAAGCATTCGGAAACGCTTAAGTGACTTTTCTTCGGGCGGAGACGAACTTGACCTTTCCAAACCTTCTGGTAGCCTTTCGGGGCCCTTACAGTGGCTTCCTGCGGCCCTGCTGGGGAGCCTAAACCCTAAACCCTAAACCCTAAACCCCAAACCCTAAACCCTAAACCCTAAACCCTAAACCCTTAGCCCTTAGCCCTAAGCCCTAAACCCTGAGCCCCCAAGGTTGGTGCCTCTCTGCGGGTGTAGGGTTTAGGGTTTACGGGTTAGGGTTTAGGGGTTAGGGTTTCGGGTTTAGGGTTTAGGGTTTAGGGTTTAGGGGACATGGTTTAGGGGTTTGAGGTTTCAGGGCCTGTTTCACTTGAACTCCGGCATATGCCGTGGCTTGTTTGGACAAGACATGTTGGCAAGCAAGAAGCCAAAGGGTTTCACTCAATTGAACGTTTCGTCTCTTTTTGGGGAAGGAAAGCAAGAAGACCAGGGTTTAACAAACTCGGCCCCGCTGATACTAACACTCCCCCCCCTCATTTTACATGTGGAGGGGGGTACGGATGCAATTGAACTCTTCATCGTTTTGAGCTTGAAGAGAAAAGTAATGTGTACCCAAAAAGGGACCATAATTTAGAGAACTACTCATTTGCTGTTGTCTTGAGACCTTGGGGCTTAGGACTGGAGTGGCCTTGTATTTTGAAAGCAAAGTACGACAGTACAAGCTGCACGTCACCACCCTTCCTCCCCTACGAAAGTACAGCAGGAAGACTCGGACATACACAGGATGTGTGGGATATGGCCGTGAGGGCTTCCGGGGCCATTCTACCCCCCTAAACCCTAAGCCCTAAGCCCTAAGCCCTAAGCCCTAAGCCCTAAACCCTAAACCCTAAACCCGCCCCTCTTTGCTCATGCTTCCAAGGCACAGGCCTGAATCTTCAAAAAGCAAAATGCGTGCCCTTGGACCTCGCACTTCTGCTCCCAGAGGTCGTCACAAGGGCAACCTGCTACTTTAGGGTTTAGGGTTTAGGGTTTAGGGTTAGGGCTTCGGGAATTTTTGCGGGCTTAGTGCTTAGGCTTTGGGGTAGGAGTGCCCCAAACCTTCGGGTGTGCTGGGGGAGTTGTAGCTTCGCCGTTCCCTGCAAAACGGAAAGCTCGATCCTACAACCTAGAGCCGAGCAAGCAGACGAACGCGAATAACCCTAACGCGAATAACCCTCGTATTCCTCATGACCCTACTACCCCCCCCCCCTCCCCCAATAGACCAAAAATAGACCCTGCCCTCAACCCTAAGCCCTCAACCACCCTTAGCTTTGGAGTAGACCCTGGAAAAAAAGTATATACTTTTTACGTATAAGTAGCTATACTAGGAACCCAGCACCAAAAAAAGTATTAACGTATAGTACTCCAAGACCCAGCACCACAGCAGCAGCCAGGCCTTCGGCTGAGGGCGACTGGCAACTCTTCTCCGGGTCCCGGCTGTGGTCGCGTCTCCCAGCTTCCTGACATCCGAAACCCTGAAAAACTGGTCTTGGGTTTAGGGTTTAGAGTGTAGGGTTTAGGGGTTTAGGGGTTTAGGGGTTTAGGGGTTTAGGGGTTTAGGGGTTTAGGGGTTTAGGGTGTATGGTTTGGGGTTCGACGGGGGCGATAAGGTGAAAGTGATACGGGGTTGGAATGGGCGGATAGCTGAGCGCATGACGTGTCGAATGAGTGAACAATGTTCTTGAATGACAGTGGGCACCAAAGGGCCAGTGCCTGAACGGTTTAGGGTTTAGGGTCCAGGGTTTAGGGTTTAGGGTTTAGGGTTTAGGGTCCAGGGTTTAGGATGAACGGATGAACGACTGCATGAAGGGAAAGACGCGGAGTGTTTTTGGGGCACGGGAAAGGGAGGGAAGTGATTGACCACAAGGCTGACGGTGAGCAGCCGTCGGAAATTTTATGGGGTCATGTCCTGTAGCCCCCTAAACCCTAAACCCTAAACCCTAAACCCTAAACCCTAAACCCTAAACCCTAAACCCTAAACCCCTTAACCCGGTCCCCCCCCACCCCCCTTCCGCCAACACACAAGGAATTACAGTGAAGGGTCTCTCATGCCGCAACCTGATCTTGGGCTCAAGGCTTGGGATGCTGGGTTTAGGGTTTAGGGTTTAGGGTTTAGGGTTTAGGGGTAAGGTTCATAGGGTTTGCAGCCAGGGTTTCAGGCTTACGGGTTTATATAAGGGCTTCGAGGCTTTAAGGTGGAGAGGGTTTATAAGCTTCTTAAAGGGGGTTTAAGGGCTTCTAGGCTTTAAGTTAAAGGGTTTTTCAGCTTCTGAAGGGGATTTAAGGACTTCTAGGCTTTAAGGTAGAGGGCTTAGAAGCTTCTTCGGGTTTTTGGATCCTTCCTGAACTTACAAGGCTTTTCGTCGAACAGGCTCCCATGGCTTGGAAGATGGATGCGACCCCTGGCATAAGACCCGAAACCCCTAAACCGTAAACTCTAAACTTTTTTTACTTTTTTACTCTAAGCCCCAAACTCAAGCAACCCTGCTTACACCTTCTAAGGTGTAAGCAGAGGTTTTATAAACCCTGACCTGAAACCCTGAAGCCCTCAGCCCGTTGCCGCCGCGTGGCATCATAGGGGATCGACCAACATGTCATCCTTTAGCGCGCAGGGTTTTGAGGTTTACACGTTAAAACTCAGGGTTTTGGGGTTTTAGGCTGAAAGTTAGGGGCTTAGAGGTTTAACAGGGTTTAGGCTTTAAGGGTTAACACTTAGGGTTTAGGGTTTAGGGTTTAAGGGGTTACATGTAGGGCTGCGGGCTTCAGGGTTGAAACTTAGGGTTTAGGGCTTAAGGGTTAGTTTACATATCATGTGGGTTTAGGGCTTAGGGTTTTTAAGGCTAGAGGGGCTTCTTGTCATGCATGGGGACTGCCAGGTCAGGAGAGGCGCTGATCTGCAGCGCAAGCTCCGGGAAGTACCGCAGGTGTTGCCTGAACTGAACCCTAACACAAACGCTAAACCCTAAACCCTAAACCCCAAACCCCAAACCCCAAACCCCAAACCCCAAACCCTAAACCCTAAACACAAACCCTAAACCCGAAAAACCCTCTAAACCCTAAACCCCAGCATTTGAACCCCAACCGCCCTCCCGGGGTGCCCGTTGGTCCAAGCGACTGTGGTACTTGCGTCAGACCTCGAACTGGTGAAGCCTTGCTTGTAAACATGATTTAGGGTTTAAGGTTTAGGGTTTAGGGTTTATGGCCACAGGGTTTAAGGTTCAGGGTTGAGGTTTAGAGTAGGTTGGGGACGAAAATTGGAGGATCAAGGGGATGGGGACCACTTGAATCCACTTCTAATGCGCAGCTTTCGCGACAAAAAAGTGTGCCAACTTGTCTTGGTCAATCGAGGGGGTTTAGGGTTTAGGGTTTAGGGTTTAGGCTTTAGGGATTTGGGCGCCCATTCCGCAAAAAGTCATCCGGTATTGCTCGAAACCCGTGCGTTCTTTTCGTTTACAGATTTCCTGGGCAGCTTTGTACCCTGTGCGCCGCGCTGCCCTGTGGCCTGAAAGGGTTCACGCGGCCAGGGTGTGGGGTTAGGGTAGCGTGTGGTCCATATACCAGAATTGGGCTAGAGTAGGATGGGGGACATGAACCCCGAATTGAAGAATTCATTTAAACACAAGGTACTCAACACTTCAATTCCCGAGTCTTAAGCTCAGAGCCTATACTCCGTAAGCCAAGCTGACTGCCCCAGGCTATCCCAACCGGAACAATTGCTGCTGGGTCGCTTGAAGTGGTGGATGTTCTGAACGTGGCAGTCTTTGTGGCCGAACTGGTGAGAGAAAGAGAAGTGGTTGAGATTGATGTGGTCGAACTGGTGCTGAGTGTCAGCGAAGTGGTTGAACTCTCGGATGTCGTGGTCAAACTGGATATTCCAGTCAATGTGGTCGTCGACGAACCTCGCGTGGTCCATGTGCAAGACGGCAACAGACATGCTCGTCTTCACTGATTCGGGACTTCGTGTTTGAGGCTTCGGGACTTCGGGCGTCAAAAGCTGCAGGGACCAAGATTGTCGGCTTGTAGGTGGGCCAATCAATCCCGACAAAATCAAGACGAGGCCACGAATGAACAAAGAATCGAGGGAAACATGGGGACGGGCCTACTTACTCAGGATGGTCATGTTGGGCAGTGTGTGCTCTACATATGTTGTATATGCATACATTTAGGGCTTCTAAGGGACCGGTAGTGGTAATTGGCTTAAGCTCCTGTTGAAGATCCGTGGTGATTCTAAACTATTATGAACCCTAAAAGGGTTTATGAGGCTAGGGTGTGGGGTTTAGGGTAGCGTGTGGTCCATAATGGGTGGTTGTCAAAATTATAATCCCTTTTGGGGTACCCGAAATATTAGGCGCCGTGTTATAATAGGGATTCAAAAAGGGACCGTCATTTTGACAACCACCCATATACCAGAATTGGACTACAGTAGGATGGGGTACATGAACCTCTAATTGTTGAATTCATATTACCACAAGGTACTCAACACTTCAATTCCCGAGTCTTAAGCTCAGAGCCTATACTCCGTAAGCCAAGCTGACTGCCCCAGGCTATCCCAACCGGAACAATTGTTGCTGGGTCGCTTGAAGTGGTGGATGTTCTGAACGTGGCAGTCTTTGTGGCCGAACTGGTGAGAGAAAGAGAAGTGGTTGAGATTGATGTGGTCGAACTGGTGCTGAGTGTCATCGAAGTGGTTGAACTCTCGGATGTCAATGTGGTCGTCGACGAACCTCGCGTGGTCCATGTGCAAGACGGCAACAGACATGCTCGTCTTCACTGATTCGGGACTTCGTGTTTGAGGCTTCGGGACTTCGGGCGTCAGAAGCTGCAGGGACCACGATTGTCGGCTTGTAGGTGGGCAATCAACCCCGACAAAAGTCAAGACGAGGCCACGAGTGAACGAAGAACCGACGGAAACACGGGGAGGGGCCTAGATACTTAGGATGGTCATGTTGGGCAGTGTGTGCTCTACATACGTTGTATATGCACACATTTAAGGCTTGTAAGGGAACAGTAGTGGTAGCTGGCTTAAGCTCCTGTATGAAAATCCCTGGTGATTCTTGAGACACCTGTATTGGTCGGATCAATGTTATTTTTCAGGTTGAGTGAACCCTTTTAGGGTTCACGCGGTTAGGGTGTGGGGTTGAGGGTAGCGTGTGGTCCATATACCAGAATTGGACTAAAGTAGGATGGGGTACATGAACCTCTAATTGTTGAATTCATATTACCACAAGGTACTCAACACTTCAATTCCCGAGTCTTAAGCTCAGAGCCTATACTCCGTAAGCCAAGCTGACTGCCCCAGGCTATCCCAACCGGAACAATTGTTGCTGGGTCGCTTGAAGTGGTGGATGTTCTGAACGTGGCAGTCTTTGTGGCCGAACTGGTGAGAGAAAGAGAAGTGGTTGAGATTGATGTGGTCGAACTGGTGCTGAGTGTCATCGAAGTGGTTGAACTCTCGGATGTCGTGGTCAAACTGGATATTCCAGTCAATGTGGTCGTCGACGAACCTCGCGTGGTCCATGTGCAAGACGGCAACAGACATGCTCGTCTCCACTGATTCGGGACTTCGTGTTTGAGGCTTCGGGACTTCGGGCGTCAGAAGCTGCAGGGACCACGATTGTCGGCTTGTAGGTGGGCAATCAACCCCGACAAAAGTCAAGACGAGGCCACGAATGAACAAAGAACCGAGGGAAACACGGGGAGGGGCCTACCTACTTAGGATGGTCATGTTGGGCAGTGTATGTTCTACATGTTGACATATGTTGTATATGCATACATTTAGGGCCTCTAAGGGACCAGTAGTGGTGTTTCGCTGAAGCCCAAAAGTCCGTACCACGAGGAGGCCTGTCGATGTGGTCTGAAGCCCGCCATGGTCACCAAACTGCACGACCTCACTCGCGTTTCGGGGTTTAGGGGCCTTTAGGGGTTCAGGGGTTCAGGGGTTTAGGGGTTCAGGGGTTTAGGGGTTTAGGGTCTAGGGATTCAAGTTCAGGGTTCAGGGGTGAGAAGGATGGTGGGGGTTCAGGGCCGATGCCATGCGGCCGAGCCCACAGGCTCTGTGAAAGCTTTGGCCTAGTCCGAGATGTGCTCTCCTTGATTAGGAGATGGTTCCATCAAGGCTCTACAACCCCGAAGTCCACAGTCCTAAACCCCAAACCCTGAACCCCTAAACCCGAAACCCCAAACCCTGAACCCCTAACCCTGAAACCCCCCCCCCCCCCAGTCTGAACCCCAATACCTGAACCCCGGGAGCTCGGGAGCCGACGCTGCCGAAAGGTGCCTGCAGGTTAGCGTCCCTTTTTGGGGATCATCCTTGACTAGACCCAGGAGAAACCTAAGGAATAAAAAGGGTACCCTTTGTGGTTTTAAGTGGGTTAGAAAGGAATAAGGGCCTACTCCAGGTCCTGGCTGAAGGAGTCCTACTACAAAGGTACCTCACAAGGGGATCACGCACCATTGTAGACTGTAGACTACCCCTACGTGGGACGTTGACATGGTTTGTCAAACCTGCTTTCCCCCCGAGACTTGTTCAAAGACAAAACCCCTGTAACTTGCCTAGAACACTTGCCCTAATTCGTTGTCAAGTTGACGTACCTACCAGGGAAGGGATGACATTTTGGAATTTAGGAGTTCTCAAAGGCAGTGGCCTTGCCAACAGAGTTGGACGCGTACACCAGGATGGTGTCATCGCCTTCCGAAAGCCTTGCTACTGCAGGGAGGCAACGGCGAAGCCACGGCTTTCGGGTGTTGGGTTTCGGGTTGATGTTATGGGGTTTGGTGTGGGTTTCGGGTTGAGGGTTTTATGAGCATAGGGATCTAGGGTGCAGGGTTTCGGGCTCTTCTAGGGTTTGCGGGCTTAAGGCGCCGGCAGCTGGGCGCTGAAGGTGAACGCTGCTTCTGTGATCGGAACGCTGGCGATGTACCTGCACTAGGTTGCCACGAACCGACCTTAACCCTCATTCCCCAAAACCCTGCACCCTCTTTGGAGGGGTCTAGGGAAACTAAAAGGTATCCATTTCTTTACTTAAGCAGGCTTATACGGGATCCGAACTCGAACCCTGCAAAAAGGGATTAGCTGCAGTATGCTGGGCCCTGGCATCCGAATCGAGCCGTTTCGGGCTTCAAGGAGCTTACGGGCAGCACTCACCAGCAACTAAAAGCAGCAGCCTGCCTCTCGCTCGCAGACAGTTGGGTGCCCTGCGAGGGACAGGATAAGTTTGAGACGTTTGGCGAAACCATTGGGCGCTTCCAGGGCACTTCCAGGGCAGGGTGGTGGCTCGAGGTCGTGCACGGAAAATCACACTTAGTTTTTTGGCTCTTTGTGCCGGCAATTGCTTGTGGAGTCGATTCTTCTGTGTGTGTGTGCAGCGGTCTATGCTCATTTCTGGAAACTCAACTCCCCGTCACATCACATGGCGTGGAGGCTGGCGCGCTGATGTCTACGAGCTAAAGACACCCTAAGAAGGTTTATGGTCCACCTTGCAATAATTTAGCAGAAAGCGCAGCAAAGGACCAACATCAGGCTTGCAATGACACAATGGGACGAGCTGGACTTCTGGGACTTCTATACGTGATTTTTTGTGTAAAATGAACATCCTAAATCCTAAACCCTAAACCCTAAACCCTAAACCCTAAACCCTAAAAGGGCCAAAGGAGGGCTTGTTAAAGAACTTCATGCACCTAAGGGCCTAGTTGTAGGGGCTTGAAGGGCGTATCCTGGAGCACTTCAGTACCTATACGACTAGAACTCGGGATGCTCCGCATTATACTAACAGTCCTTGATAGGGATTCTTGTACCCGCTATTATAATCCCCATTAAGGACTGGTAGTATAAGGGGGAACATCGCCAACGACAACCCCGAAGAAGTCATGGATTGCGAAGGACACTCCAAACCCTGGGAAACCCCCAGAGGTTGCGGTTGCGAGAATGAGAGGGCACCCCGGGGCCTGGGCGAGATAGATGTCGAAGGTGTCCACAATGGCCCAATCCTAGAGCAAGAGAAGAGGCTCGGATTTATGGTTGCTCAGCAACCTAGGCACAAAGGGGAAGGGACTGAAGGGGGTCCAAGGTTTTCGGCCCGAAATCAGGATGGCATGAGCCCGTTCTAGAATTTGCACGACGATGAGGCCGTTCGACTCTCTGAGACACGAAGCAGTCCTGAGTCACACCCACAACCGCAGAACAAAACCTGTGAAACACCAGCTCCTTCAGGCGAGTGTGAAGCAGGGGCCACCGAGTCAACAACCGTTTTTTCTTCCAACAGCGGGCACTTCCATGAACCCGGCGAGCCGGTGGAAGTCCGGGTACAAATTCCGGTTCGCTGCAAGCTGTTCTCAGCCGCGCCCCAATGTTTGCTTTGTCCAGTCTCTTTGCAGACCACCAGTACAAACTCGGCTTGCATAGGGAGCAGCTTAGGCCCGTCATATATATATATATACATATATAAATATACTTGCATGTATATGTCTATATGAACAAAGATGAATCTACTTGCCCGACTACGGCACTTACTTAGAGTCACGACTGCTCTCTGGTTGAGGGTTCAACGGAAACAAGGAGACGGTGTCCTCACCCACCGCTGGCATCGTCGGGCCCGATGTGCTCCTTGGCGAAGGCACCCTTTGACACTGAACCTTGCTTGCTTCGGGTTCCGGGTTCCGGGTTTAGGGTTTAGGGGTTTAGGGGTTTGAGGGTTGAAGCTTCGACCCTCAGAAGTTGCTGAGGATAGGATAGCCAGGATAGCTGCACCTGCTTGCCAAGCACAGGCTGGCTACGCGGAATGCTCAGCTCGAGTCCAGGAAAGGTGTCCCGAGAGCGATAGGTTCTTCTGCTCCAGTGGCGTGGTGTCCTGACATCCGCTGATACCCCGCAGACCCTAAACCGGAGAGACCTAAACACAACAATTGCCCCCTTAGAAGGGTGGTATGGTCCTTATACCTTACTAGGCATCATCTTCGTTTTCGGGGCACCTGAGCCCCAATTTTAAGATTCATCTGGTCCCCAGTGTGCCCAGGGCTTCGTCCTGAAAATCCTGCAAGTCGTGCAGATCACAAGGTGATGAGCAAGCCAAGTTGCCTCCAAGGCCAGATCTTGTACATAGATGGTGTCCGCCGCTTGAGATGACTGGTTGTCCTCCCATGAGGCTAAGGCTGGGGACTGACCCCTCTTCCCCGACAACACGCCTCGGCACTCGCCGAAAAGGTCCTGCTGTAATCTGCTGTATGTTCTGCGTGCTCAGTAATCTTTCGGCTTTTTTTCTGGTATCAAGTAGCTTCGGCTGCTGCTGGGAAGATTGTGTCACTCAAGTGGCGATTTTTTGATTGCCCTGTGCAAACATGCAGAGACCTGTAGGCCCGCCAATTCCCTCAACCTGAAGACCGATCAAGGAACAACGCTTCGGCTTGGAGCCAGCTACGTCCTGTGCTGGGTAAACCAATGCGGGCCTCCTAACCCCAAACCCCAAACCCCAAACCCTAAACCATAACCCTGTACTAAACCCTAAACCCCCTAACAGCCTCAAGCTTAGACGACCTCAAGCAAGAGGATGCCTTGATGAGCACACGGCCAGCATCAATGGCCTCCTGCTCAACGCCGCCCATCACGGCGTACACCTTCAGCGGCTTCGGCAGTATAGGTAGGGGATCCTAAGTATGGGCCCCTAATTTGGTCCCCTGTTATTTAACCTTTATATATTTCATAGGGTTCCGGGTTTAACACGGTTGCTCACAGCTTTTTGGGTTGCAGAGGCCCTGCCCAATCATCGGGGGTAGGCTGAGGATCACGCAACGATCCAGCTGGCGGGGTACTCCGTTGGATCGCAACAGGCAAACCTCCTGTGGCAAGCGTGGAATGACCCCCAGATTCCCCCAGAGTCCGAAGACTCATCTTGAAGGAACCCCTAAGCCCCAAAACCCTTGAAGGGTCTTAAGTTAAGTTTAGGGGAATGCGGTTAGACCGCCAACGGACTCGATGCTTTCAGCTGGAACGCGGGAAAGCCTCGAGACTTTCAACACCCACTTCCACACCAAAGGCAGAACCAACAATTGCATTTGCGCGGGCCACTTGAGGATATGTCGGGAGTGGAGCCCATAGGAATTTGGAAAACTCAAAGACCACAAGCCCTAAACCCTAAACCCCTAAACCCCCAAACCCCTTAAACCCCTAAACCCTAAGCCCCTAAACCCCTAAACCCATAAACCCCTTAAACCCCTAAACCCCTAAACCCCTAAACCCCTAAACCCCTAAACCCCTAAACGCCTAAACGCCTAAACCGCTCAATCCCTAAACACGTAAACCCCTCAACCCCTAAACCTCTAAAGCCCCTTCAACCCCTAAACCCCCCTCAACCCCTCAACCCCTAAACCCCTCAAGCCCTTTTTTTATACCTAAACCCCTAAACCCCTAAACCCCTCAACCCCTAAACCCCTCAACTCCTCAACCCCAAAACCCCCAAAACCCCTCAACTCCTAAACTCCTCAACCCCTAAACCCCTCAACCCCTCAAGCCTCAAACCCTAAACCCCCCAGCCCTCAACCCCTAGACTCCTCAACCCCTCAACCCCTCAAGCCCTCAACCCCTAAACCCCTATAAGCCCTAAACCCCTCAACCCCTCAACCCCTAAACCCCTGAACCCCTAAGTGGCACCGACCTTTGTGTATTATTTGGCGTGCTCTTTTGTTTTGTATTAAAGAAAGATAGTGGCGATTTGAGGAGCTGAGTTTAGGGTTTAAGGTTTAGGCGTGCTTTGAGATGGGAACTCCACCCTAAACCCTGTGTAGGGTTTAGGGTTTAGGGTTTAGAGTTTAGGGTTTAGGGATGCAGGCCGGAGCGTCTTAGTATGTAAGGTTTAGGGTCTTGGGTCTAGGGCCTAGGGTCTAGGGATGCAGCCTTCTTCGACTCGCATGTGGACTTATCCCTCCTTAGAAGTTGTCTGACGCTCTTCGTGAATGCCAGAAGCCCACACACAAAGCTTACGCCCGCGTAAGCCGCAACCCTAGACCAAGGGAAAAAGTGGGAACCCCTATAAAGAACGCCAAATATATCCCCCCCATATAGCCACTATATAACCCTTATATGGTCCCCTATAAGGTAGGGTTCCCATCAAGGGTTCCCCCTTGTTTATCTTAACTAAACCCGAATCTCTTCGCTGGGTTTCCTGGCTTCGTTGCGTGTGTGTTTGGGTGTCCTTTTATGTCTATACTTCCTTTACTCTTTCTTTCTTTCTTTCTTTCTTTCATTCTCTCTCTCTCTCTCTCTCTTTCTCTTTCTCTTTCTCTCTCTTGCTCTCTCTTTCTCTCTCTTTCTCTCTCTTTCTCTCTCTTTCTCTCTCTTTCTCTCTCTCTCTCCCTCCCTGTCTCTGTCTCTGTCTCTGTCTCTGTCTCTGTCTCTGTCTCTGTCTCTGTCTCTGTCTCTGTCTCTGTCTCTGTCGCTGTCTCTGTCTCTGTCTCTGTCTCTGTCTCTGTCTCTGTTTCTCTCTTGTTCGAGCTCCAGGCGCCGCCCTTGGAGTCGCTCAAAACCTTGGCTCGTTCCCTTTCTTTGAGTCTTCCTTTCTTTCACTCTCTATTGCTCAGCACAGTCAGCGGAGAGGCTCCGGCTGCGTGCTTGCGACGCGCTTGCTCCAAGAAGCTCGTGCTGGAGGTGGCCTTCGCGAGATGTGTGTGATTTGGTCGACCCCAATGTGAACGCTCATCCAGAGAATCACATCCGTCGAGACAGTACGCCTCCCAACATACGAAACCCCAATGTGGACGCCGTGTGTGTGTGTGTGTGGGTGTGGGTGTGGGTGTGCACGTGCGCGTGTGGGTGTGTGTAGACGCCTTGCAGCACTTGCGCCTCCACCAGCACGGTGCCGTAAGATCCAGGTGCAATTGCAAAGCATGATCTAAAGCGATCTCCCGCCGCTGTCCTCGAGAGCCTGCAAACACCAGCGGATGAGGCAAGTTCTCCGCAGCATTCCAAGCCCCCTTGCCAAGTGCTCGGCCTCAGCGTGCAAGAATCTGAAGAGCATCAAGTCCATGCCCTTGTCCAAGAAGTCGATGATGACTCTGCTTCGACACAAGGCTCGCTCACATATTCGGTTGCCATAGTCGCCTCGATGACGCGGATCGGGAATCATGTGCAAGGCCAGAGGAGTCGCTTCGAGAAACTGCAAGTGTTCGCGGAACAGTTTCAGCACAACGCCATGGAACGCGTCGTCCGAGTACACGTCGGTGTTCCTGCTGCGCTCAAAAAATTCCACTGCGTCACGGTATGGGTCGGAGCGGGAGCCGGGCCCGACGTTGTCGAGGAGCTGGTTGGGACAACGAATGCGCAATCGCATTGGATTCTGTCTCGCGTGCGCAGAGCAGACCCATGTGCAGCGCATGACAGACGGACCATCTTGGCAGACGTAAAGGAAATTCTCTTTCGCAGATCCCGCATCTCAGTGTCGCAGTCGTCTCGACGGGCGATGGCACCGGTCGATAGCGCAACTCGTTGAGCCCATTTCCTGTAGCCGCATATAAACCCAAACGAAAAGTGTTGCAAGTGGTCTTGGCGCTGCTGCAGGAGCTCCATCTAGAAGACGAGCCAACGACACCCCTGTGCCATCAATCGACAACTTCACGAACGACTCATTCCATCGAAGCTCAAAACGGTGGTTCCGGTACGGCTGCAAAGAAATGGGTCTGCTGCCTGCGTGGACCTGAGGTGGCAGATTTGCGACACTGAAAGAAACAGCCATAGTATCCTGAAAAACGTTGTCCAGTCGGCAGTACGCTTGTCTGCGAGCACGGAGTTCACAGTAGTCGCGCACGTCGATGTACATGCCCGCCACGTTGCGTGGCAGAATGACGTCGAACACTGCGTCGCCCATCATCGGGCGCAAGGACTCGAAGCCTGCCATAATCGGAAACGCACCAGGCCCGCCGAGGACCGGTGCGGCAATCCACTCCAGCCTGATGTTGTTTGGAAAAACATGCATCATGGAAAGCTGGCGAACATTCACGTTGACTTGGAGCGCATGCATGTACGCCCGGGTCATCCACGGAAGCGTCGCCGGATGTTCGACTTCGTCCCCTTTTAAATTCTTTAAATTCCTTAAATTCTAGAAATTTCTTTATTTCAAGAATTTAAGGAATGTAAGGTATTTACAGAATGTAAAGGGCTTAAAAAGGGAAATCCCTTTCTACTTTTTTCCAAAAGTCTTTAAGTTCTTTAAATTCCTTAAATTCCTGTATTGTCTAGTAGGCCACAAGCCACGCGCCAAATAGTACATAAAGGTCCCTCGTACAAACCCCTAAACCCCTAAACCCCTCAACCCCTAAACCCTCAACCCCTAAACCCCTAAACCCTCAACCCCTAAACCCTAAACCCCTGACCCTTTGCTGAACCTGGAGCCCGAAATCCTTGGGCTCCTCTGGGTGTTGTCCAAGATGGTGAAGGATCTCGACCCGACTGGTACGGCCCTGAAGATGCCAGGGTTAGCACTCTGGGGAATAGGGGGGTGTGGGGTAAACCCCCAACCCCTAAACCCTAAACCCTACACCCCCTAAAGACTAAGTCCTAGGGCTTTTAGGGATTGAAGGGGTTAAGGCTCAGGGGGCTCAGGGAGGCGGCTTGGGCAAAATCTAGGAACCCTACTGAAGTTTAGGGTTTAGGGATTTTTTTTGGTCCATGTTGAGGGTTAAGCTGGAAGTTGTAAACACGCATTCCGACACCAGTGAGCTGCAACAATGTCGACCGGGCTACGTGGCAAAACCCAGGTTGGGCTCATAGAGCACTTGCTCGCGTGTTCCCGTCACATCAAAGGCCAGCCGCACGCCTGAGAAGGACTGAGCCGAGCATCAAGAGGGTTCAAACAGACAAACAGGAGTCAATGATATGACATCAGAAAGATTGAAGATTCACAAGAAGTACATGCCAAGTGAACAAGATCTCGAAGAATGGGTGGGGCATGTCAGACCACCCTCTACGCAAGGGACCCTCTTGCTTGCAACAGCACACACCGTTTCGTTTCAGTCTCTTTTTGAGGCAGCTGAAAATAACCGCCGCTGCTTCATGCCTCCTTGTGGCATGCCTTTAACCACGGATTCAGCCCAGACCGCGTTATCAGACGCAAACAACCATTGTCTGGGCTCGAATGATGTTTGTTTTGGGGCCAAGGTCGTCCTGCGCAACTCAACGCTCCTGGTTCTTAGCTCTTTGCCGAGGCGCGATACTCCTGAATGCCCAGCGTGCTTGCTGGCTCATCCTGGGCAAAGGCAGATCGGACCCATCACGCAGTGAGTGACACACACACACACATATGCCAAGTCGCCCAAGTCACGGTTCCCCCAATCTTGAAGTAGTCGTCCACGGTGTCGGTGAACTGCACGTTGGAGACACTCGCTGTCACTGAGGAGGTGGTCCTGGATGCCGTGAGAACAAGCCATGCAAAGGCCTATGACCATGGGCTCCATGATGACCATGGGCTCCATGAGGACCATGGACTCTCATGGCAGATGGGTGGCTGTGACTGCGTCGTTGTGGAGGAAGTGGTGCTGGTGAGGGTCGTGGTTGGGCGGCCGTCGTCCACCAAGGGCACCCAGGTCTAGGCCGAGACATGATCCGACACTCCACACAATGGTCCACGCACGATCCAAGCCCCTCGCGGCATTGGGCGACTCCCCATGTTCGTTGTAAGCATAGACCAGAACCTTCCGACTCGTTCAACTTCCCCCCCTAAGCCCTAACCCTGAGCCCGACTAAACCCCACACACTAAACACCAAACAGCATAAGCAGAGGCCAGCTATGGGCGCTCCAAAATGCGCCCGCGACCCAGCCGGGAAGCATGGTTCTTGTCGCTGTCACAGGCTGCATCAGTGACAGAAACCTCTCCAACATGCAAGGGTTTAGGGTTTAGGGTTTAGGGTTTAGGGTTTAGGGTTTAGGGGTTTAAGGGTTAGGGGTTTTAGGGTTTAGGGGTTAGGGTTTAGGGTTTAGGGTTAAGGGTTTAGGGTTAAGGGTTAAGGGTTTAGGGGTGAAGTGAAAGGCTTATCTAAATTATGGGCCTTCTGGCGGGCCTTATATCAAGGGCTCCGTATTGAATAAGACCCCTCCAAAAACGAACATCATTTGGAGAATCCCCTGTGCGCGCTGCCCACCTGCGTCAGGCCCTTTGCCGCCTGCCCGATAAGCTGCTTGTTCGTACCTGATGCAAAGTGATTGTTCATGGCAAGCTGATATGGATATCAGCATCCGTAAGCCTTTGTACTGAAGAACCGGATATCCTGTAAGTGGCCCGTGTCACCCCACGCATCATCTGCGACATAGACTCGCCACTCTGAGGCAAAGCCGTAGTCCTGCACAAGGCACACAGTAGCTGGGTTTGGGGTTGCAAGGGGGGTAAGCCTACCACTGACAAGAAGCAGGTCCGTTGTTGCGGCATAGCTCCATGTGACGTTTCCGGTGAGCAAATTCTGCAGGGGATTTTCGTCCTTTCCGGCATGTCACACCCAAGAGAGCTCGGCTAGCGAGGCGTGGAGGATTGGGGACCCGGTGACTTTTTCAAAAACCGGAATCGAACCATCTACCATCGTAATAGTATGCTCCTATCACCCCAAACAAATGCAGCACCATGGAATCGCTTTTAGTGTTCATTTCGTCGCCAAGCATGTCACGGCCAAATGCGGCCAAGCAGCTGTGAAGGACACGGACTCCACCAAGGACAGCCCGGCCCAGTCGCCACCCAAAGCTGGCAGGGTTTCCGGGTTTCTAGGGTTTAAGGTTTAGGGTTTAAGGTTTAGGGTGTTAGGGTTAGGGTTGAAGGTTTAGGGTTTCCAGGGTTTTAGGGTTTCTAAGAATTCCCGGGTTTGCATCGGGCAAAGCTGCCCGCACGTCTGCTCACAGAACTGCTCCGAGCAGTGCGCGAACCAAATAGGACCCTAGGCACTGGCAACTCAGCGACGGACTCCCCACCACGGAGTCGGAGAGATCTGTCAGCATCACTGCCGCGCCCTGGCGGGCCGAGTCCAAGAGCTCTAAACTCCAAACCCCGAACCCCGAACCCCGAACCCTGAACCCTAAACCCTAAACCCTAAACCCTAAACCCCCAGCAAGCCGGAGCCTCATGGACCGGCTCGAAAGCCTGAAGCAGGTGGATTCGGAGGCGTGCCCAGCATATGTTTTATGGGGAGTTTAGGGTTTAGGGTTTAGGGTTTAGGGTTTAGGGCTTTTGGGGGTTCCTATAGTAAGGACTATAGTACTTGGGGGGGGGTATATTCGGGGCACCCCCTATTCTCGGACATGCCCATATTATTATGTGGTAATTTCCCAAACTGAGGGTTTAGTGTTTAGGGTTGAGGGATCCCTTTTTGTGGGCTCACCAACAACAGGACTCTCTCATTTTGGGTAGAAGGTGGTTGGATTATCTTGGTTTCAAAATTCTACATATCCCTAAACCCTAAACCCTAAACCCTAAATCCTAAACTCTAAACCCTAAACCCTAAAACCCTAAACCCCAAACCCTAAACCCCCAAGCTGCGAGGCGAAGGCTTCACGGTCTGTTGGCGAGTGGGGTGCGTTCTGAAGAAGATGGGAAGCAGCGAAGCCACCGGGTTTAGGGTTTAGGGTTTAGGGGCGAAAGCAATGGCAACCACAGAAGAATGCAACATATCTTGGCATTCATAAACTCAAAATGTTCAGAAACTCAAATATGATCTCAAAAGTAGAAGCGCTTGGTCGATACAAGAGCGCAAGGACATTAATCAGTATGTACGAATACAAGAATATGCCATTCCAAGAATGTAAGAAAAACATACGAACATCAAATCTTAACGCGCAACTAAGATGTCAAAACAAAATAACGAAGAACCACACAAATGCTCTAATACTCCAACAATCTAGCAATCTCATATTGCAAGCACAGAAGAGGTGATGGCGATGACCTGCATTTTGAGGCCGAGCAACTCCATTTCCTCAGTAGCGTGCCACTTGCGTCCACACTATGGATGCCCACCCTATGGATGCCCGCAGAGGCCAAGGAACCATAAGTCATCACCACGATGTAGTTGGCCCAGACTCCGCCAGTATCTGTCCTGCGCCATTCGGGTTTCTATGTTCATTAGATGCCCCCGCCCCCACCCCCCGCAATGGGACCACTGAGAACAACCCTCACATGGCTAAACACTTGAGTGTGAAAGAAATTGGGCTCTTCGGTCCCGCGAACAATACCTCTGGCATCGCTGTTGACGATCTCGTAGTCCGTCGCAGTCTTTGCAAGGTTGTCCTTGGCCATGTCTTGGTGTCTATTACTACGAGTACAAAGTCTCCCGCAGCTCACGAGCAGCAAAGGCACCACCATGATGGCGCCGCCATCACCAGAGCTGGTTGCGGACTCAGACAGCTGGCAACAGCACAGGAATGTCGCAAAAGTATGCAGCTTCCTGCCAAATGCTGAGGGCAGCACCATGACGATGCGAAAGTACTCGACATCAGGATTGTTCTGGGCGACCCAAGTCACAGTACCATCAATCCAATAGCCATAGGACACACTGGTATCCGTGAAGCCAACGGATATGATGGTGGCCTGCAAATCAGCCCTCCACCTCTTACAGTGGCCCCTTTGAGGAGGTTCAGAAGAACGGTGAGGGGTTTGAAGTGTTTAGATTTTATTCGTCTTTTCGAAGCCCCAAACCCCAACCCCCAAAGCACCTGGGACAAAAGTGCGGGGAGACCAGGCCAATAGCGGGCTTGACCTTAAGGAGGAAGGCTCATGCAAAAACCCAAACCTTTCAAAAACCTGAAAACCCGAGAAGCCTAAGCCAAATCCCTAAAACACCTAAAGCCCTAAACCTTAAACATCCTTAACTCCTAAAACCTTAAACCCCGCTTCTGGTACGGCCTGGTTTGAGTTGAAGGTGCTCGTAAGGGTCGCTGTCGCTGTTGAAGTTGCCGATACCTGGCACCCGCACTGCATCCGAATCGACAATTCTCGAGGGTTATCGTTTATAATAAGGGACCAGTAAGACCATCTTATCATGAGGGTATCCTTGTTGGTGTGAGTTCCATAACAGAGCCAGGAGCGCAACAAGGGCAAAGGGGGTACCACTGCATTGTTTCCAAAACAACATCTTAGACATGACAACGATCCTATGCCCAGGTCATGCCCAGTTGCAGAGGTGGTGGTCGCAGTTACACCAGCTTCAAAGCAGTGGAAGAAAGATGGCGACGCGGCTATACCGTGCGTGTTGTATCCATACATCCTGGGCGTAGCTTCCAGTGGTCCCTCTGGAGGACCCGTGATTGCGCGTGAGAATGCGGCCCCTGTGAACCGGTTTGCTCATCATGGGTGTCCATGACAGGTAAGCTCGCGACAGAAGGCAAAAGTTCCCCTGCTGATCCGTATTGTCCGGGATGGTGTAGCCTACTGGTCTTGTGTGCACGGAAGGTTTCCACGCAACACCGGATCTGAATAATGAGCAGTCGCACTTATGATTTTCTTGCAAGTCCCAAACCCCGTGGCTACATCACCCGCTTTTCCAGCACACCCGCACAAGGAAGGGCGCCCTTTCTTGTTTCCTGATGTTCACAGCGGAACCTCACCCCGAAAACAGGGAACAAGGTACTAGTACGGAACAAGGTACGACTGGGCATCCCAGTTTCAATAGTTCAGTGGTTTAGGCCTCAAAGACTATAATTGCTCAAGAACTTTACGGTTCATTTGGTCCCCAAGAGTCTTCAGCAATGGAAGGTTTCCAGGCTGAGTGCGGAAGCTTCACAAAGGTGGGCGTGGGGAGTTGTGACCATACTTTGTATCTACACAGGGTTTAGGGTTTAGGGCTTCTGGCCTCTGGCTCACGGCCGCTGGGTGCTCTCTTTAGGGTTGAGGATTTGCAACCTGATGCTCCTGTTCGGGCTTGCACCCGTTTTCGAGTTGAGGGTTTAGGGTTTAGGGTATGAGACCCGTCGCTGAAGGTATGTTAGGATCATAAACCCTCGGTTCACAGAGTATTTCAGATGCCAATTTGGGTTGATCTAATGCGTGGTGAAAGGCACTCAGTGTAATTTGTACTTGTTGTCCAAACGTTAAACCCTAAACCCTAAACCCTAAACCCTAAACCCTAAACCCTAAACCCTAAACCCTAAACCTGGGGACATCTAGCCCCAAGCCAAGGGGCTCAGCGAGCCCGGCGTCACTCGTGCCAGTTCGAAGCCACCGGATCCGGCCGAATCACTCGCCAAGAAAATTGCATAGTGGGACCTTTGGCTCTTTAGGGTCTAGGGTCTAGGGTCTAGGGTTTAGGGTTTAGGGTTTAGGGTTTAGGGTCCGAAACTGAGCAGGGGTTTAGAGTTTTAGGACTTAGGCAACACGTTCCACCTCCCCCCCCCCCCCCCCCCCGGCGGCCCACCTAAAAACTTCGAACCTGTAGTCCCGATGTCCAACCACATGGACGAGGAGCAAGGCCGTGTAGTCATAGCCAATATTGTACGTTCCATCAACTGTCCAGGTCAGGGCGCCTCCAACCTCAATGTCGAGGAACCCTTGTCGAGGAACCCTTATTTTTCTAGAAAATTAGAAACCCTAAACCCCAAACCCCAAACCCTAAACCCTAAACCCTAAACCCTAAACCCTAAACCCTAATCAGCTTGCTGGATACTTCAACCCGGCGTAGGTCAAGTCCTGAGGGCTCTTCCTCGAGACTTGTGCAAATCTCATACTCGCTGCGGCCTACGGCCGACGGCCCTTTCGAACGGAGGCTCAGGAAGCCCTAAACCCTAAACCCTAAACCCTAAACCCTAAACCCTAAACCCTAAACCCTAAACCCTAAACCCTAAACCCTAAACCCTAAGCCCTACACCAAAAATCCGCTCTGGAGTCTGCTCGGCCTCCAGCTCTCGCCTTGCCTGCTCGGCTACCCCGCCTCTTCTCCGCCCCTCCTCTGCCCCTACTCTGCCCTGCCCCAAATAGGGTTTAGGGTTTAGGGTTTAGGGTTTAGGGTTTAGGGTTTAGGGTTTAGGGTTTAGGGTTTAGGGTTTAGGGTTTAGGGTTTACCTGGTAAGTCCCAAGCCCAGAGGCCCTCTAAACCCTGCACTGCGAGCCCTCTCAAGCCAAAGCTGGACCATAAGCCCTTCTACACCCAAAACCCAGAACCCTTGCATCTCGCAAGCCCCAGATCCCTCACACGAGCCCAAGGACCAAGGGCGAACGTAGGCATTTGTTGTTCTTGGGCTTTGGAATTCGGCCATAGGTACTATAGGCCGTACGTCTTCGGATTTAGGTGTTTAGGGTTCGGATTAAGGCTTAGGGATAACAGTGTGGAACAGCATGTAGAAAAAGACACAAGTCTGGAAACCCATAAAGATCTAGATTCTATCCATGACCTCGTGCATCAGACTGCAGCATGAAGCAACATACCCACTCCAATGCCGGGATGCCTCTCCAGCATCTGGATCTGTGTCTGTGAAGGAGCTGAAATTCAAAGGCGGTGGATTCGGGACGGTGCCGCCGTTTGACGTGTCGATGTAATCGTAACCTTCAGCATGCAAACATGCTTCAGCTATAACCCCCTAGGCCCCAGAATCGCAGACAAGGCCAAGCATCGCACAGTGGCCAACTCCATATGTGGATGACCCCCTTAGCTGCATGTCACGTGTCTGCTCGGACCTTCCCTCCCCCCGCCCCCCTTCCCCAAACCCTAAACCCTAAACCCTAAACCCAAAAAACCCAAAAAACCCTAAACCCTAAACCCTAAACCCTAAACCCTAAACCCCCTCCCCAGGCCCCTTCCGAAGTCTTGTTTTTGGAAGAACCCTGAACCTTTAAACCCTGAAGCCGTAAGCCCACCGGCCTACTGGTTCCTTCTAGGGAATGTGGGACGCACCATGTTCCCCCCCAGTACCCGTCAAGGAAATATACAAGGTACCAAATTTCCCTTGGTTTAGGGTTTAGGGTTTAGGGTTTAGGGTTTAGGGTTTAGGGTTTCCCTGTACTGAGAACCAATGAGTAGGAGCGACTTCGTCGCCTAAAGAGGCCCTGGCATGTCTGGCATCGGGACAACGACGAGATAAACGGCCTTCAGAGGTGTGGTTTAGGGTTTAGGGTTTAGGGTTTAGGGTTTAGGGTTTAGGGTTGGCTTTGAGGGTTTAGGTGTTAAGGTTTAGGGTTTACTGTCGGATTCATAGGCCCCCCGTAACCTCGGACCTATTTGAAGGGAGGGGGCCTAAACCCTGGCTCTGAAGCCAACTTGGGCAATTGTGGGGGGAACTGAATGAGTCCGATGAATGCCTTATGAAAACAAGTAGAGAACTGTCTGTATAAGCGTTTGGGAGCCGTGAGGAAAACCTGAGGCCGTGATGCGGCCCACCATTCAAGAGTAAACAATGATGCGCAACTCAGAACCGAATAACCCGAAAGCAACTGCAGTAGGTTATTGCAGGTGACAAGCCCCTTGCAATAGGACTTTGAAGCACAGAAGGCTCGCAGGACCCTGCCCCAAACAGGTGAAAGATAGCTTTTCCGATTGCTAATGTCGCACACAAACCACTAGGAACGTGAGCGGAACGACAGCAGAAACTTAGGCAGCGGCATATGGGTCCAAAAACTGACCGGAAGATACAGACCCACCTCATGGGACGGGGGTGGGGGGTGGGGTGGGGGGGGTGGGGGCAGTCAAGGGTTATGAAGTCCAACGCCAGCACCTTGCGTATCCTACATAATCCTTGGGGCCAAAATCAACCATGAAAGATGTATGAAACATATGCCTTATTCGGGGTTACAGTGGCATCCGGTATATGATCTCAACTTTCGAGCTGATGCCACAGAGCCAGTGCAGCCACAGGTCACCAACAAAACGCAGCGGCTCAGAGCAAAGAGCTGGGGCAACTGGGGAGAACGCAATACTTCCAGAAGAAGTCTCCGGCACCTCTAACTCCATAGATGGAGTTGGTCCCCACCTTCGCGCAGCTGCTTGAAGGGCAAATGTGGGTTGTTTCGACTTCGGATAGGACCCACCTGATAGGCGCTTGTAACAACTGAAGCATCACCAAAGAACCCGAGTTTAGAATAATTTCGAGATGCAGGTTGATAAGTTTGACTCAACCTCCCTAAAGCGAGACGAATGCAAAGTGCAGCCACAAGATTGAACACCAAGAGAAGCTCTGCAACTCACCTGCCATCAACCTCCGTGGACCATCGAAAGTCCGAACACCCTTTACCCAAAAACCTTAACCCGTAACCCTAAACCCTCTAGGGTTTAGGGGTTAGGGTCCTTGCCAAAAGAAAGCATCCCGCCACCACTTCTGAGCATCCTGCCGGAACTTGCCAGTTTTCGCCTACAGCAATGCAGGTCGGCCGCATTGTTCAGGGCTTCTTGATTTGTGAGGCAAACCCGTCTTCAATCTTAAACCCTTTTGAGATGGAGTTTGTGCGGTCCTACTACGTCACCGATTTTGGCTTTAGACTCGAGCTGAGGGCGTCTGCAATACAGAGAATCTTATAAACTGGGTCAGACGGACTCGGCGCAATACAAAGGAGGACAAAACAGGATGGATTTCACACCCGAGACGTTTGAATGGGAGCCGAGATTTCTCCCGCTGGGAATCGCGCCTTTCGGCCCCCTGAAAACGGTTTGGGGACCTTGTTAGGGACACCCAGGCACTGGGGACATTCTGAAGGGACAGCCCGTCTTGGGTTTGTACATGCGAAGCTATGTGTGCTAGCATTCAAAAATGTCGCCTGCGGACAGGCTTTCAAATGGCATGGAGAACAGACGGATGTAGCCCTGGGCACCTAGACCCGGGAGTAACCCAGGAATAAAAAGGGTACCCTTCTTGGTTTTAAGGGGATTGATAAGGGAAGCCCAACCCTAAAAAAGGGAAAAAGGCTGAAAAAGGGCCTACTCCTGGTCCTAAACCCTAAACCCTAAACCCTAAACCCTAAACCCTAAACCCTAAACCCTAAACCCTAAACCCTAAACCCTAAACCCTAAACCCTAAACCCTAAACCCTAAACCCTAAACCCTAAACCCTAAACCCTAAACCCTAAACCTAAACCGGTCCTAGGCACTCTTCAGCCAGGGGCTCTCGCGGCTTGGCCCCTGAGCCCCGCAGCCCGACCTCTCTGACAGGAACTCGGCCAGGCCCGGCCGAGGCGGCAGAGCGTTTACAATCAAAAGGCGCTTTAGGGTTTAGGGTTTAGGGTTTAGGGTTTAGGGTTTAGGGAAAATTAAAAGGTGGGGGTTGTACAAGACCCCATGATGCGAAGCTCCCCAAGCATGTGCCGTGCCAGTCGCCAGTGGCTCCGTAGTATACGATTGGCAAATCTGCTTCGGAGTTTACCTTGGATGGTATAGGCAATCTTGCAACGAAAACCGCACTTCAAACCCCGCTCTCAAGAAGCATGCTGTTCAAGGATTCGCGGACTAAATGCACAAGCCCCTACGCCTGCAGACGCCCGTAAGCCTGCACCAGGTACGTAGGTTGCCTAGCAACCCAAGAGCACAATAGGGAACCGATCCCTCCCAGAATCTGAGGAAAACACCCAAGCCCGAGCCCCAAATCTTGCACAGAGCCGAGACACGTTGGGCAAGGACAAGTCGTAGGCCAAGTCTGGGCTGCATGCACCGTATACCTGAGTCTATGTAGGGCTAGGTTTAATCGTGTGTTTCTTTGCGTGAGGCGCTGAATGCTGAGTGCGTTGTCTTGGTTCTTCTGGAGACTCAGGGCTCGTCTCTTACAGCTGGAAGCAAGGCTCAGCCCAATCTATAGCAATCAAATGCCCAGTCGATCTCAACTGCTCAACTCTCGACCCTCAAGCCGAAACGACAGTTGGGAGAACTCTACCAGTCCCGTTTCCTGAGACAAGACATGGTCACTTCTCAAAAACTTATGGTCCCTCCCTACTATTTAGGGTACCCAAACAGGGACCAGAAGTTGGAGAACTGGCAACATAGAGCACGCACATAAAGCAAGATCTAAAAGCCCTCGAAAGATTTCGGCATTGCCGTGTTTTCAAGGGCATGTAATCGGAATCCTCAATGGCATGTGACAGGAATTCAAGCTCCTCACCAACTCAACATGCCTCCAGGTGGCAATTTCCTGTTCCTTTCACCGTTCCACTCGTCCGGATGTTTTTGCAGCTACGTCTACAGATCTCATTTGCAACAGCCCAAGGCACCACATAATGTGTCACATTGGTCGTGTCCGGTGGCGGATCCCAGCTGATCGTACCGCGCAACTTCCCTGGGCAGAGTATTCTAGGACGGTTCTTCTAGGTTTGTGGGGGAGAAGCTTCATCGGCGAGTTCAGGGTTTAGGGTTTAGGGTTCAGGGTTTAGGGCCACAAGGAGCGTCAACAGTTCGTCGAGTAGCATTGTTCGCCAAAGTCATCTGCGAACTGTACGTTCGTGACCTGGCAACATTGCCAAAGCGCCTCTTAAGCGAACACTGACTCAGATGTTCGCGTGCCACCTGGCCAGCCACTGTTGTCCACAGCAGCTTGACAAGCATGGACCTCAACTTGGCAAATAGGGTTTAGGGTTTAGGGTTTAGGGTTTAGGGCTGAAAGCAAGAACTCTGGCAAGAATCAATCGCATCAAGCTCAGGCACATAAGTCTCGGTGGCATAGAGGTGCAAAAGCACCGTGGCATCACAGGCCAGCAGCATCTGTTTCTCAACTGTGTTTGCTTACTGGCCCAAACCCCAAGGAAATAAAAGTTGAAACTTTCAGGATAAACTACCTTATAAGAATCCCAAAAGTTGAGAAGTTGGGTTTTGAGCCAGTAAGTTTGCTCAAGTCTGCTAGCTTCTTGCATCCAACCACACTAGCACAAGGCAGTAGGTAGCAATAGCTGCTGCTGCAAGCTTTTTACAAAGAGGGCCATCGCTTGGCTACATGTGCTTTGACCCTAACAGCCCTGCCATGTTGAAGTACATGTACTGCGGCGTGGCCTTAACAGCCCCGGCACTTTGAACAGCTACAAGCAATCAGATCAGTCAAGTCCTATAGTCGGACAGGAAGTCGAGGTCGGTTCAGGGTTTAGGGTTTAGGGTCTAGGGTCTAGGGTTTAGGGTTTAGGATTTAGGGTTTAGGGTTTAGGGTTTAGGGTTTAGGGTTTGCAGTGGGAGTCGTGGGTCGCAACCTTCGGCTCCCAGAGGCTCAGTGCCTCTAGGTACCATCGTGTCTTGATTTGCGGGCTCAAATGGTGAAATTGGGCTTAGTTTAGGGTTTGGGTTTAGGGTTTAGGGTTTAGGGTCTAGGGTTTAGGGTTTAGGGTTTAGGGTTTAGGGTTTAGGGTTTAGGGTTTAGGGTTTAGGGATTCTGTTCGATATGCAGAAGATGCATACAATTACATGTGTTGCATGCCAAATGAAACATGTACCTTAAAGCTTGATAAGGATCCCTGGCTGAAAACTCATGAAGGTACCTTCCGCAAATAACAGGTGTTGGCTGGAATATCAAGATATGGACTGAACCCTTAACCCTCTCCTCCTTACTATTCCTAATATGTGGGAACGTCGCAGGCAGCACGAGGATCCCCTTGTGTTAGGGTTTCGGATTCAGGTTTAGGGTTTAGGGCTTAGGGCTTAGGGTTTAGGGTTTCGGATTCAAGGTTCAGGCGGTTTGAAGCTGAATGAGACATACGCTTCCTCGTTTTCCCAGCTCTTGCCGCTGGCACTTGCGCCGGCGCGATGTCCCTTATTGGAACGCCTCGGATGGGGGAGCCCACAAAGCCGAAGGGGGGGGGGGGGGGGGGGGGGGGGTTAGGGTTTAGGGTTTAGGGTTTAGGGTTTAGGGTTTAGGGTTTAGGGTTTAGGGTTTAGGGTTTAGGGTTTAGGGTTTAGGGTTTAGGGTTTAGGGTTTAGGGTTTGGGCTCTTTGAGAGGTATAACTCTAATCCACCAGTGCTTCGCGTACCTCCCAAATCACCCTACGTCCTAAGCACGTTTGTCCGGATCTCTCCGTTTTGAAACATACGTGTCCTTCTTGAAGTGGGCACCAAATACTGGGACTTCATTTTGGGAGACTACGTGAAGGCTTGAGCGGCTTGAGTCATTGAGATTTCTCGGGTTGACAAGTTCGGGGATAGGACCTGTAGGGCTAGCTTGCCCAGAAACATAAGAAATCATGCTCAGCATGCTTTTCTTCTTTCTTTTAATTCAAAATATATATTCTGGATGGTGTCTACGTGATCTTCATTCTAATGGTGTGTCATTTGTCTTTCTTTGCATATATAGTTCATGTTGGAAGAGCTATATTATGCTGCATACTTTTATAACCCAAATACTTGGCTTTCTGAAATGGTTATTTACTTCTTCTTAATGGTGTCTTTCGTTGTAAAGTTTATGGGGGCTCCAAGATAGATGCCTGGATTTACATAGGGTTAGCATAGTTTGTTGAACAGGGTGGGCTCTCCCCCCGTCCAGGGTTTTCGGCTTAGCAGTTAAGGCCCTGATGTTGGGTTGTGGGCTTTGAGTCTCTAGGGTTAACTAGGGCGCAAAGGTGTTAGCAATCTGCCGAACCACGCCATCTTCTTGAACCTCACAATTAGGGGCTTGAGAATGTTGAGGTGGGTTTAGGGTTTAGGGTTTAGGGTTTAGGGTTTAGGGTTTAGGGTTTAGGGTTTAGGGTTTAGGGTTTAGGGTTTAGGGTTTGGCAGGAAGCCTCTGGGTTTGAGGGATGCTCCTCAAGACCACGCTCAAACCACGGGTTCTCTCGATCCCGACTCCCGGTCGCAACCTCTGAGTATTCTATCCTAAACCCTAAACCCTAAACCCTAAACCCTAAACCCTAAACCCTAAACCCTAAACCCTTAGGGTGGAGAATAAGGGGGGCTTAGTTGTCTTAGGGTTCAGGGATGCAAGATGTTCAAAGCACCCTCCCCAAGAAGGTTGCGAAGACCATTTCCTATCTAGGGGTTTCCGACGTTAGGGCTACCTTCTTGGGGTCCTGACTATACGGGAATCCTACTATTTGGAGGTCTATTTTCGGGGGTCCCCACCCTAAACCCTAAACCCTAAACCCTAAACCCTAAACGCTATATAGCAACCCCTATATAAAACCTCACCATGTCCCGACCAAATCACCGCTTGTCGACGGTGCAGGGGCTCCGCTCGCAGTGCCAGCCTGCATGGTTTAGGGTTTAGGGTTTAGGGTTTAGGGTTTAGGGTTTAGGGTTTAGGGTTTAGGGTTTAGGGTTTAGGGTTTAGGGCTTAGGGTTTAGGTTTAGGATTTAGGGTTTAGGGTTTAGGGTCATGGTGTCCGTCGGAAGGGCTGGCGGGCATGTGGTTTAGGGGCCTTTCTGTTTCAGGCTATCATGAGCCCTAAGCCACAATTAGGGGCTTGAAAAACAAAAAGAAACCCAAAACCCCAAAACCCCCAAACCCCCCAAAACCCCAAAAAGCCCAGGGTCGAATAGTGTACAAGCTAGAAGAAACAGGCGCGGTCCACTATATCCACCACCCGAAGCCAAAGCACTGTCAAACTCCGTGATGCAATGTTGGGAATCGGACTCAAGGAAAACAGAACCCTAAACCCCAATCCCTCAACCCTAACCCTAGACCTTAAACCCCAACCCTAACCCTAAACCCTACTCCTAAATCATAAACCCCTAAACCTCTAAACCCCAAACCCCTAAAACCACCCCAAACCCCAAACCCTAAACCTCAAACACCAAGCCCTAAACCCCAACCCCCTAAGCCCTAAGCCCTAAGCCCTAAGCCCTAAACCCTAAACCCTAAACCCTAAACCCTAAACCCTAAACCCTAAACCCTAAACCCTAAACCCTAACCCTAAACCCCAAAATCCCTCCCAGCGGCCTTCAGCAGCGCCAGCTTTAGACGCAGCAGAGGGATGGAGCCCCTTGGATGGTAGGTGCCAGAGCAGCCTTGGATTTAGGGTTTGAGGGTTTGAGGGTTTGAGGGTTTAGGGTTTAGGGTTTAGGGTTAGGGGGTTTAGGGTTTAGGGGTTGGGGGTTTAGGGTTTAGGGTTTAGGGTTTGGGGGTTTGGGGTTTGGGGTTTAGGGATTAGGGTTTGGGGTTTGGGGTCTGGGGTCCTTGGTGGAGTTTGGGGTTTGGGGTGATCGACGCTGGGGGCCTGTGGGTTTAGGGCTTTTAGGGTTTAGGGTATCGGGTTTAAAGCTTGTAGGGTATAGGGTTTAGGGGTTTAGAGCTGGTCTAAAACCCCGAAGATCGAAGCGTTAAAGCCTTCAGCATGCAACTCGGAGACGCTGAAGCTATGCTGCTCGAAAACAAGCCCTTGAAGCCTTGAAGCCTAAACCCTGAAAACCCTACACCTTCTCGAAAACACTGCTAACCCTCAACATTAAAACCCTAAAACACTAAAACCCTAAAACACTAAAACCCTAAAACTCTAAACCTTGAAACCTAAAACCTTGTGCCGAACGCACAACTCGGCTGCCACAAAGCAACCGGCGAAGCCCTCCACAAGCATCTACTCGACCCCGGCACCCGAACTTCCGAAAGCGCATGCGCGTCCCAACCGTAAAACCCTAAAGCCCTAAACCCTAAACCCTAAATCCTAAACCCTAAAACCCTAAACCCTAAACCCTAAACCCTAAATCCTAAACCCTAAACCCTAAACCCTAAACGCTAAACCCTAAACCCCAAACCCTAAACCCAACAAACCCGAAGAAATCGACGCTTTTTCGGTCCCAAAGGCGGAGCTGGAAGGGGTTCCTCGCGCCTGCACTTTGAAGCGCGGATTGCACCACCTTTCCTTGGCAAAGTTTAGGGTGGAGTTGTAGGGTTTTAGGGCCTCAGGGCGAAGGGTTTATGGCCAGGGTATCGGAGCTCTAAGCGTTTAGAAGGGTAAACCGGGAGTAGGATGGCTTAGGGTTTTGGGGTCTCAGGGGTGGGGTTTGGGCTTCAGGGATTGACGCGGCGCTAAATTCGGTTTAGGGCCCTCGGTTTCTTCTGAGCTGCGTTTAGGGTTTAGGGTTTAGGGGTTTAGGGGTTTAGGGCTCAGGGTTTAGGGTTTAGGGTAAGAATGGAATTGCAACGCGCGACGGCCGCCCCAGGCATCCTTGCAAAGCTGCTGCAACTGCATCATTCCAAACTTTTAGGGTTTAGGGTTTAGGGTTTAGGGTTACCTTTAAATGATGAAGTGTTGGCTGCATCAGACCGGGGCCATTCAGGGAGGTTTATAGGGCCTAGGGTTCAGTAGCCCTAAACCCTAAACCCTATCCCTAAACCCTAAACCCTAAAGCCTAAAGCCGAAAGCCTCAAGCCTAAACCCTATAAACCCTATAAACCCTACAAACCCTATAAACCCGATAAACCCTATAAACCCTACAAACCCTCTAAACCCTATAAACCCTCTAAACCCTCTGAACGCTCTGCACCCCTTAAACCCTACAAACCCGTCGCGGCCCAGCTTCCGCGCAGGTTGTGCTTGTCGTGTGCGCCGGAGGGCGTCTCGATGAAGCCTTGGCTGCAGCGGGGCCTTTTCTGGGCATTTCGGGCAATTTAGGGTGTTTTTTTAGGGTTGTTTTAGGGTTTTTAGGGTTTTTTAAGGGTTTTTTGACTTTTTTTTGGGTTTAGGGTTTAGGGTTTTTTTGGGGTTAAGGGTTTTTTGGGTTCTTAAAGGTCGTTTTGGGGTTTTTAGGGTTTTTCGGGTTTTCATGGCGTTTAGGGTTTTTAGGGTTCTTAACGGTTTTTAGGGTGGGTTTTTTAGGGTTTGGGGTAGCGAAGAAGCTCAAACCCTGAACCAATAGCCCAAACACCCCATATAAACCTTAAACATCCCTGAGCCGGATGAAGCCTACAAGCCCCTACTGTGCACTTTGCTCCTAAACCCAAGCCCTGAGAATTCCCAAACGCTAGACCCTAAACCCTATACTTCGGGTGGTAGGGCTGAGAGTTTGAGGGTTTAGGGTGGCTTAGATTCGGGGGCAGGGGCTCAGGGTTCAGGAGGTCCAGAGTTTAGGAAACGCTCTTTGCGCATAGCCGGCATCCGGCCTTGCCATGCATCATGCAAAATGTCCCCGAGCTATGCCTGCCCAGTCAGCATGCCAGGTATGCAAAAACCTCCTAAACTCCTAAACCTCTGAACCCCCTGAACCCCTGAACCCCTAAACCCCTAAACCCCTAAACCCCTGAACCCCTAAACCCCTAAACCCCTAAACCCCTGAACCCCTAAACCCCTAAACCCCCAAACCCCTAAACCCCTAAACCCCTGAACCCCTGAACCCCTAAACACCCAAACCCCCCAACCCCTAGAGGGGCCTTTCCTCAAGCCCCATGCTGCCCAGCCGCATGTGGATTCCGGGTAGATCTTGAGGAACGCTGCGGCCTCGGAAATCCCGCGGCACATCAGCCGCCCTGCCTCAAGAACCTCAAACCTTCTTTGGTAGGGTACCCTACAGCCCTGAACCCTATGTAAAACCCTAGAGAGGGTTTAGGGTTTAGGGCCTTTAGAGGGTTCCACGGGCTTATAAGGGTTCATTAAGGTTGAGGGCTTATAAAGTTGAGGATTTAGGGTAGGGCTTGGGGCTGGATTGAAGCACCCCAAAACTTCAAACCTTCTGAAAATGAAACCCTAAGGCACACACACACAACATCGACAGAGGCCTAACCCCCATACCTTTCAAACTCTAAACCCGGAACCCTGTTTTCTTAGAAGCTCTCCAAAGCGCAGACTCTTAAAGCTGCCACCCCCCCTCCCCCAATTTAGGCTTTGAAAGCCTTGAAACCTTGTGAAACTCTAAGCCCGCAACCGTAAAGCCCTGAAAAGCCCTTTACCCTGCAAAAACCGAAGCCCCCAAACCGTAAGACCCGGTAAGCGTGAAAATTACAGATCTCCAGAAACCATAGACCCAACTCCCCCGCAACAAAAGCAGAAAACAGAAATTGTATGAACAATAAAAACACAATAAACAAAATAACATATAGCAAAGCAATGCATGCCTATCCCAATACCCCAGAACCCTAAACCCTAAACCCTAAATCCCCAAACCCTAAACTCCTAAACCAACACCAATATAACGAAACCCTGAAATCCCAAGTCAACCCAAAACCCGAAACCCTACTTTCTTAAGCTCTCAACTTCAACCCTAAGCCCTCAATCCCTAAACCCTACATCCCGAAACCCAAACCCTCAATCCCCGATATCCCAAAACCGCCGAAAACCCCCAAAAACCCCTGGGCCCTAAACCCTAAACCCTAAACCCTAAACCCTAAACCCTAAACCCTAAGCCCTAAAATCCCCAAACCCGCGGCCTCACGGAGACTTTGCTCCGCCCGGCCCAGGAGCCTCGGTCTTTGGGGGGAGGCGCCCGCGGATGTTTTGTTGGCAGGCTTCGCGCTTGGTGTTTAGGGTTTAGGGTTTAGGGTTTAGGGTGTGGGGTTTAGGGTTTGGGGTTTAGGGTTTGGGGGTTTGGGGTTTAGGGGAACCCTAAACCCTCAAGACAAAAAAGATTGAATTTGTCAGTGGTTTATGTAGTATATATATATATATATATATTTATATATATATAGATATTGTTCTTTTAATATAGTTCTGGTTTTTCCAAGTTATTTGCCTAAACAAGCTGATGGCCTACATAATAAACAGGAATTTGAGTGAGGGGCCCCAGATATGCACTTCCGCAACACACCAGCGCAGAGCGCTGCTCCTGCCTCCATATCGTGGTCTCCGCTGCTGCTTCCGCTGTCGCTGTTGCTGTTGCTACGCTTGCTAGTCCTACATCTTTGTCTGCGGATGCTCCTAGCTCGTAGAACTGCAGGGTCGAAAGCCACTCGCAGGAACTAGCGGCCTGACATGAATCCTACATGTGCAATGATCCTGCCTGCCTGCTTGTGAATCCTACATCCTACGAAGTTATGCTGTTGAAGACATACTACTATAACTTGCGTGTTTTTCAGAATAAAAACAGCTTCTTCTACCAAGGTGCTTGGCACCAGAGCCGCCGCCGCCAGATCCGCCAAAGGCCTTCCGCACCGTCTGGCGTTTCGGTTTGGAGTTCATGGCTTGGGGGCCTATCTGAAGAAGAGGCGGTGAAAGATCCTAAGTGTAAGATTTCAGCTGGCTCTCTTGGCAGAAGGCTCTCATGGTTTCGGCTTCAGGATTGGGGACATAAGAGTAAAAGCTCCGGATTCTATACACGTTTTGCAAGCATTGCGCAACTAACGCTTACAAGGCCGGCGGGCCACCGAAGTTTCGGCTCTAGTTTCGGCTCTAGACCGGGCATCGCCCTGACTAAGTCCGGAAAGTCACCACTTCTTTGCATCGGAGGCAACACAACCGCCACTTTTCTTGTGGCTGCACAGGTTTTCCTGTCGCTTGCCCTTGCGGCCACTAAGCCCCCCCCAAAGCCGCTTGTGGAGTTGAGGGAGGTCTGGCTGACGGATCCGCAGCTTGAATCTTCCCAAAGAGCTGTGCTGAGGCTTCCCGAGGGCTTAGGGCTTCAGGGTGGAGGGATTGGGGCTAAGGACAATAAACCCCCAAAATCAACTCCAACAGGCCCAACCCCAAACAACCCCAAACTATACCTCCCCCCCAGATTCCAATTTGCCCGTTCGGCTTTCATCGCCGTTTCAGTGCATGCAGCAAGTATAGTCCGTGACTGCCAGCTCCTACTTCCAAGGGCGGAAGAAGACGAACACGCCAAGTCCCTGCTATGAGGAGACCCTAAACCCTAAACCCTAAACCGCAAACCCTAAACCCTAAACCCCAAACCCCAAACCCTAAACCTCCAAAAGCCCGACAGATACCGCCGACCTGGGGAGGAAGCTTTCCACCGGTGCCGCTGGCGTCCGCTGGGGCTCCGAAGCCTCCGCGGAACAGCACCTCTTGCCCGCGTGGCGTGCGTGGAGGTTCAGGGCTAAGATGGGCTAAGTATATAGGGTTTAGGTTTGGGATGTGCCCCAGTTACTAACCGCCCTCATATGGAGTAGAGTTTAAGACTGTTAGCTAGTATAAGGGGGAACATCCCCAACATTTAGGGTTAAACGGTTTGTTTTTAGAGGGTTTCGAGGGTTGAGTCGAAAGGAGGGCTATTGTAGGGGGCCTTCTTATCGGGCTTAGGGTTTAAGGGGGCTTCAAGCGTCAACGCTGAACATCCGATTGAGGGCTCAGGACCTCCCTGTAATTTAGGGCTTAGGGACTGCCTGGGTTCTCGGGTTCAGGGACCCTAAACCCTAAATACGTAAAGTAGGAAAAGACCCAACGGTTTTGCTTTTAGGACCACCCCCAATTGAGTTAACTGGCTAGCGGAGTTCCTACCAAACCCCCTATAACCCTACCCAAGAGGCCGGATCCATGCCTTTCTCGAACAAAAACAGCCTGCAGATGCGTACCTTGCCAGGGAGCTCACGCACTCCCCCTCGCCAGCAGTTCCAAACCACTGGCGACAGAGAGTCTTGGAAAAGATTCTGCCGAACTCCCTTAGAGGCACTCGGTGGTTTGGCCACAGTGCCACGTGAGTGATTAGCGAAATGTTTGGACAAAAGCCCGACCCGATTCCCAGCATTCCTCAGCCTGCGCTGTACAATGAGGAACTGTTCCCTTCAGGAACGTTGAATCCTAGGGTCGCTCTGGCATCCGGGCCAGCCTCAAGAGCATCAGAGGAGTTTGAGAACTGACTACCAAGACAAGCCCGATAGCTAGAAAAGCCTGATCCTCCAGATCAACAGCTCTCAATCCCCTCTTAGATCCTAGCTGGCGGTGAGTCCGCAAGCACTATGCTTACAAACTCTGTCTGCTTTATCCGGATTCGTCGGATGACCCTTCATCTTTAGCACTTCTCAACAGGTATGCTCCAACACACCTTTGGAAGTCATCTTGCACCTCCTCCGGATAGCAGTCTGTATCTACAGCGAAGCCCGCCCTCCATAAGCTAAACAAAATCCTAGCCCTACCTGGGATGCCCGTTGGTAGCGGCATAGGCACGAAGGCTTGGTCTTCGGTCTGACTCGCAGCTGTTCTGAATTTGCCCTTCTTAGGCAAGATTCGGCAGAAGGCCCACTTCAGGATCTCCCAAACCCCGATGACACACACACAGAGCCCCAAACCTAAGCTGTACAATCCCGTACTTTCCGAGTCCGAGTTGAAGGCTCTTGGGCATGAGGCAACTTGACGCTGGTCCTCACGGAAGAGAACAAGCGAACGGTCATCGCCTGACTGCACCGAGTGTGCCTCAGCAGGATTTGCGAGACCAAAGATCAGGATCAAGGCGATCAGGAACATGATGGGCCACGATGTACTGGCATCTGAGGCGGAACGCGAAGCTCTTGGAAGGTGCAACTGAAAGGTACAGGGCCGCTCTGAAAGTACAAATCGGCAGAGGTCGGTGATCGACAGGGAACCTCCCCATACAATGGAGTTGAAGCATACCCATGCGCGGTAAAGAGCCGCCAAGCCCCAAGCCAGCATAGGACAACAAAAGAAAGCATAGGCGTGCTCACTCGTCGAAGCGTTTGTTCCAGCACATTGTCCAACCCCGACCGCCCTGTGTTGCGAAATCCATACTAGCACTACAGCCCCGGCAAACAATCCTCCAACAATCAACCCTCCTAAGAAGCCAGTCAACAAACCCACAACAACACCTTCTTGGACATCAATATTTGGGGGTCCCCAATTTAAATCACTCTCACTCCCTTCTGTGCATGTGTACATGGACTCCTCTGCAGAAGTAAAATCACTTTCACTCCCTTCTGTGCATGTGTACGTGAACTCCTCTGCAGACGTAAAATCACTCGGCACTCCGTGGGAGCGCAAGGCGTCATGAAACTCCCGCCAATCCCCACCCGCCAGACCATCTACGACTGTCTGTACGGCTTCCTGCGACCAACCCGGAAGGGGGACGCGAAGTACATCATCAATGTAGCCCACGAGCAAAGACTCCTCTTCAGCACTATAGGTTGCCCCTACCCCCAATGCCAACACATTGGCCCCTGTCGGCTCTACCCCGCCATCGGACTCCAAATCATCCTGCCGCGAAGCAGAGGTGGGAGTTGCAATAGGGTCTGCTGCTGAAGCTTCATCGCCAGATCCCGATTCTCTCCCGAACAAGTTCTCACCTCCGGCAAAATACAGCTGAACCGCCTGTGCCAAAGGCTCATCTGGCAGCTGAAGTCCATGAGGCACCGCAGCTATCTCTGAAACATCGCCGTCACTGCTATCTTCTTCCGGGGTTAAATTCCGATTGGCCTGCATGTGTGCGCCTGCCACATCGTGCACTTGCAAGCCCCTCGATTGGTATCCCTCTAGGGATGACTGGTGCCGATACCGGTCTACAGCATTGTCTATGCCATACCGATAAGTACGAGCCACCTCACGCAGCTCCCGTATTTCAAGACACCTATCCCCTAAAAGACCTACAAAACATTCCCCAAATATAGCCAGCAATCGGCGTAAGAAGTGCGTCTGCTCATCACGTACTCTCCACACCACCAGCTGCGACCTCAGGCCGTGCACGATGCGACTCACTGCTTCAGGATCTCGAGTCTCTACAGCACCAAGAAGTTCACGGGCATCATGAGCATTTCCACTACCCGTGCTCCCCCCAATCTGCACTGTAGGCAGGCCCCCGGTGTCATCACCGGTCAACGTCTCATGGCCACGGCGGGTGTCCGGAGGAGCAACAGCTTGTCCCAAGACTCCTGAACTAGAGGATGATTGCTGGACGCGTAGCCGTGGAGAAACATACCCTAACTCTGGACTACGGGAAGAAGTGGAAAAAGCTCCTACGCTCGGTGAGAGCTGCATCTCAGGGGTCAGTTTTTCATATAGCAACATCCTGGCACGCAACCTCCACCACACTCTCACTAGTCCAACCGTGACCACAAAAACCAGACCGACACCCAGCCCCAAAAGTCCCTGCCAAGCTTGGAGGTCCCTGGATGGCTGTGCCTGGACAGGCGAAATTACGTCTGTTAGTAGCAATACCCCCAGCCCACTGTACAGGTTGCTACGGCACCCTTCTCCAGGCTGAATCCGTGCTAGCAGCATCAACACAATCAAAGTGGCCGGGGAAATTCCTACAGAACTTCCCTGCTCCCAGGCTAGGCGTCTCAAAGCCCTGAGGGTCGATGATTCCGGAGGTTCCGGCGATGATACCCTCACATTGGCCAACGCAAGAAGTTGGAAAATCCTCTGCCTAGCCAGTGGCTTCGTACCTACATCTGCAATCTGAAAGTCCCCAGGTAGATGGGTCACTACTAGGGTTCCGGCATCTACTCTTTCTCTACCGGCAGCCGCCCGAAGGCGCAAATGGCGATTACGCCAACTGGAGTTCGCGACCTCGAAAGCTCGAACCGATGCCGTATTGTCGCCGAGTAACATCAAGCTAATCGTATCCTCCAAAAGTTCTTCTACTACTGGCTGCATGGCTTCTCCGAGTTGTATGGTATTAGTCATACTTACCAGCTCGCTTTCGGCAGATGACAGCGTAATAAACGGCTGTTTGGTTGATTCCCAGAGTAACAAAGATCCTCGCCACAGCACAAAAGAAGATTGCATTGAACGTGCACCTGCTGGCCCGTGCGAAGCGTCACTGTACAGTTCAAGCACCGTGTTTGTCCGTGGCCGCGCCAACTGCCCATGCGGCGCCCACATATCCTTGACGGAGTTCGTATACTCTAACCCCATGCTGGCAGTTCCCTTCAAATAACGAAGAACTTGATGGCCCATAGCCACCACAAATTTCGGGGACTTAGTGGAGTACTGAGCCATGCGGGCAATCGTATACGAAAGGTCCGGACGGCTCCGCGTGGACATCCATAGTAGAGCCCCTGTAAGAGCTTGTGCTGCGCGGACGTCAGCCAGCCCAAACTCTTCACCATCGGTACAGGCGCCACGTCATCGACACTGTACTTGGCTAATAGCTCTGTCAGATATGACTCTTGCGTTACTCGGAACCCGGACGCCGTACGTACCACTTCCAGACCGCAGAACTTCACCGTCTTCCCTACCTCTAGCCACTCCGGGTCTGACAGCTTCCAAGTATGCTGTATCACCTCGATGACTGCACGACACAAGGCTAGCACACCAAAAACAATAAAGTCATCAACGTAAATTACCATCACCGCCTCGATTTCCAGACCCGGAACTCGAATTAGCCATAAGGCTTCGTCTGATTGCGCCTGAAAGAACCGATACACCTTCTCGCCCAGGTTGACCGTAAGATCCTTGATTGTAGCGTCGCGGTACATTGCCCAATCCCGCGGACTGGTCTTGAGACCGTACAGCGCCTTAAGGATACGCCACCTGTCGGTGGGCTCCAGAATTTTTAGGTCAACCAGGAGGTGCGGTGGTTTCACAATCCAAATTTCTTGCTGACTGACCTGCTGCAGCGGGGCGTGCAAGAAGGCGGTTTTTATATCCGCAACTACCCCCACCCAGTGGCACTGGAGGGAGACAAACGCGATCACAGTCCTTACCGTAGCTGCGTCTACACCTGCCGCGTAAAGACTATCGGCGGAAAGGTCCTGTTGCAGGTAGTTACCGCAGCAAACTGCTCTGAATCTCCGGCGACCTACGCCAGCCTTTCTTGTCAGGACAGCCTTTCCCGGGATTTGCAGCACCTTATACCCCTGCGACACCCACTTGTTCACCTCCTGAGTACTGACACGCTCGACCGCTTGAGTGACTGTTTCTAGGCTTTGTACTTCCTCTAGGGCTGCTGGCCTCCAGAGCGGCAACTCTTGCCTAGCTTGCTCCAAGCTAATCGTACGAGTTTGAAGAAAAATCTCATCAGGCTCTGGATCATGGGTTCCAAGAGGCACATCCGTACAAATGGCCCTAATGCTGCCTTGAAGCTCTACAGCCGGCTGCTCCCGCGCCAAGAGACTTTCGTACCATTCACACTCTAACCGGGCAACCCGAAGCATTTCGACAACTTCACGTCCATACCCGTTCCTTACAGCGTCGGTGAGCTCTTGAGCTGTTCGGGTCTTAAAGTGCACAGCAGCTTGATGCATAGCCACTCCGGCTTCATAGGACTCCTCGTCCAACAACTCGCACGGAAAATCAACTTCCCAAAGATCAAGCCCACAACCCTCCAAACTAGAGTCACCCCAATGCTTTGAAGCTCCTCCATCATACTCAATATCCTTGAGCTTCGACATCCAACTTACACCGTACTCCCCATCCCTTCTCGTCGAATCGTTCAGGAGAGTCTGCACTGGAAACCCCAGACCCTTTAAAGCATCCTGGTACAAAGGGACAACGGCCTGAAAATCCCGTGGAGCATATGCCACAATCACCCAGCGATCTTCACCAACCCAGGCCTCTGCTTCATGCCACCCTGTACTATCAAAAAGCTGAGGTTCATCATGGATGTTAAGCACTGTTCCGGGCTTTACCCTGCCATCCGGCAGCTTTCTTAACGTTGGCCCTTGACATTTTTCGATCCACAAGCCTCCTCCTTGAAACTGCCCCAGGCCTACTATCCAGGCGAGCCCTCCGTTACCATTCCGGGCATCACGATGCATAGGAGCTACAGTGTTTCGTGATAGGTAAAGCGTAGTCCATTGACCTTCCGGGTAATGATGCGCGACAAAACGATTGATGTAACGTGTGAGGTCCTCGTTTCCTTTAGCGTAGCGAGTGATACCCCTCAGACCCCCTTGACAATACAGTCCTAGGACCGCGTAGGTTCTGTCCCCTTCGAGGATAGACCGTTTAGGCGAGGGGAACCTCTTCACACATCGTCGCAGCACCTCCAAACAGATGTCAAACTCATAATTTTCAGCCTCTAGGCAGGATTTTAAGAATGCCTCCGAGTCCCTACACAAATGCAAGCAGCCTAGACCACCTAGGCTCGCGTCCCATTCATCTAGCAACTCCCTCGGCTCCCCATCTGCATCGAGGCGAAATCTGCCAGATTCATCAAAACAGTTTTTCTTAGCAAGCTTTTCATCCCCGTGCGCCAAAGCAAAGTCGGACTCAAACTCATTTTGCACCGATTCCGAATCCGACTCAAGCTCACCTTTACCCCACTCCCCCCCAGGTGACAACCTGGCCAAGGAACCCTGCACATCAGGCACCACAATGCAGGTCGCAGACACACGCACCGTCCTGAGCACGAAATCCGGTGCACTCTTACCTCGAAGGTGATACTTAGGTTTCTTGAGCTCGGGGGTCTTGGGGCCGAGGGGATACACCGTATTAGTCAACAACACCTTTTTCTCTTCCCCATCACAGTCCACAAGAACAAGGTGCCCGCCCGGCGTGTCCGGGGCCTGGCCCAAATACAATCCAGGAACCGTGCGAGACCTCCAGTGAGACGCAAACCCAGACCGGTGACGCTGACGCGCCTGCAAACGCACGCCGAATGGGAGAAGAGTGGGCTGAGGTATACCCAAATCACTGCAAAGATGCACCCAGTTTCGGCGACTCGCATGCAACACAGCCAAGGGCCAAAAACTCGGGCCCAACTCCGCCACCGCAAGCAGCTTACGAGCCAATCCCTTAAGCTGTTGCACCGCCAGCTCGGCTTTGTTGCCCGCAGGAGCCTCACCAGGAGTCCAAGTGGCGTGAATACCGCGCGCCCTGCACCACTCAACCAAAGGCCGAGCCCGGAGCTCCTGGGCACGGTCAGCATGATACCGATGTACCGGAAAACCGTACGACTCCAAGCGATTAATAACCGCCTGAACGGCCGGAAAAACCTCTTTAGAGCGCTTAGACCGCAAAGGAACCCCAAGGAACAAGGTCCGGGTCTTGACAGGGGCCGGAGGTTCCGACGGTGGCGGTAACGGGGGATCCTCAAGAGGAAACGCATCAGGACAACGAACACCGTCATCAGGGCCCGAAGGATCGTCCGGTGACTCCGGGCGCTTACCCACGACGCGATGAGTTACCTTGCTTACACCGGCACCGAAATCACCCGCTTCACCCGAAGCCTCTACCAACATAGGCGGCTCATCCGAAACCTCATCTCCCTCAAGGCGAATCTCCGAACGCTCCTCAACACCCGGTACACCGGAGACCGGTACGGTGAAAGCACAAGCCAAGAAAAACCTGTACCCGCGACCCTTGTCTCTTCCCGAAGCAACCGGATCAAAGCTGTGTCCGTCAACAAACGGCCCTGCCAAGTCGAATGATGCCGAATACAGACCCGTAACCGCAGCTCGCCAATGACTCCGCTGCCGTCCTTGAGCTGCAATACAAACCGGGCAACCCTTCCGAAAAGGGACATGGTCATTACCAACATGACGCTGAAACATTTCATCCTCAGTCAACTTGGCCAGCCACAATTTTCGCTCTTCCACCACCCCCTGTTCTCCCTGTTCCCTTTTCCAAGAGCACCACGCGGCCTGGACGGCAGCCGACAACCCTGGAGCCCAACGAGCCCAAGTAGGAGCCTCCTGAAGCCGAGACTTGCCAGCACTAGGACCCTTTCCAAACCGCTGCCTTTCACTCTCAGTAAGAAATTGCTGATCCAAGGCCTCATACAGGAACCAAGAGTTGGTAGCAAACGACGTTGGCTTCGGCCGTACATGCCCAAACTTACCCTGATCAAATCGGGCCAGATACGTCGAATACACACTGGAGAAATCAGACCACTCCTGGAAGGCCCACCACGAGGCCCAACCCCTCGGAGGAGCCAACGCTTGCTCTAAATACTCTTCAGGGTCTCGAGGGTGCTCCCAGCCGAACATAACCAATCGCCCATCCCTCAGGAATTGCTGATGGCCCGTGCCCTGAAATCCCTTGGCCGTTTCACTGGAGAAACCAAGGTTCGCAGCCGCCTGCTGCAGAGCCCACTGCGCAAGTTCAAGAGGATCGGTTACTTCAGTAGGCATTGCAACCCCGGAACCCTGCGTCGCCATACCATCAGATGACCCACACAAAGTAGGGGAGCTGGCGGTTTTGCTTATTGCACCACCGGCAGCAGGGATACAGGGAGGCCCATCCGCAGCCGCTTGGGCTATGGCGTACAGAAATAAGAAACGAAGCCAGAGAACACTATCCTCACGCACGATGTCCAACTGCCCCCCGGACAAGCCATCCAGGCCCCAGCGACCTTCGCCCCGATCACGGACTGGAGGAGGTCCCCCATCTTGTTCAGCACGACAACGGCTAATCGTTCGGCACGGTGGACCCCCGAGAACGGCGCCCACCACCCCAAGCGTAGCCCACACAATTAAGTGCTGCCACACATTGGAACTTACCTGGACTTCTCCACTTCCACAACAACCCCTGGAACTCTCCACCTTTGCTGACCCGCGAACAAATGCACCAAGACCTCCCCCGGCTTTGCACGTGAGATAGTCCGTCGTCGTCGGCGGTTCCATGGAACTCCTTCCGAATTGAGCCCCTCCAGAGAAGCGTCCTGTCCGGCAACGCGTGTAAGAAATTCATAGGGGACATGGGGAAACATACTACGTAACCAAATAAGCTGATCTTGCCGAGTGAGAGTTCCACCCGCGACCTTAGCCGCAAGCCACGCCCGCGCCTGATCCCTAGCAAACACTGGTTCGTCTACGGTCGTCGCCGGCTTTAGCAGTGGAACCTCACCCCGTTCTTGCAAGCCCTCGTACTCCGCCACCAGCTTCAACCCTTGTTCCCGGGATACTAAGGGGCACCCTTTAACCACCGTAACATCAAGGGCCGCCTGACCTCGTCTCTTGATGACACAACCCCTCTTTTTCCAGGTGATGGAGAAACCCAGCTGAACAAGGTAGCCGGCGGGAATGATAACTTGACAGGAACCTTCACTAAGAAGGGTGCCCTGTTTGTTGATGTGAAGTTCCGTTACCCCACTGGCCAGATCAACCCTTATGACCCTGGACGAATCCAACTCCCCCGGTTCTGCAGGCCGTAAGGCGTTAGTCGCTCCAGAATCAACGAGCGCATATTTCTGATCTGATGCACTTGCCACGGCACTAATCAACCAACCCTTGTCAATGCCCAACTCCTTGAGACATCCCTCCTCCGAAACCTCAGAAAGATGCAACGTCTTCAGATTGGCCCCTTGCAAAAGCTTAGCAGCCTCAGCGAAAAGGACTTCCTGCGCTTTAGCAGCAACGTCCTGACCCGAAGTGGCAGTGCTTCCTGACACGCTCGCGCCCCCCGCATCTTCTACCACACCTTTAGCTTGAGGGATGACTTTTGGTTTCGGGGCAACTCCAGGCTTCTTGGGCGCTGTTTTTGGGGAGGTAGGGCTGTTAGCCTCTGATGGGTTGACGACCTGCCGATTTTCGGGTGACACCAATGGGCACTCCGGACGAAAATGCCCTTCCTGACCACATGCCAGGCAGCGTTTCTGCTTTCGGGCAGCCGTTCTGTCATGCTTAAAGCGACAAGAATCCCCGAACCTACACCCCTTTCCCTCAACAAAGTTGTGGCAAGGACTAGGGTTATTCCCGGGTTCCTTCCCTTTCCCCTTCCCCTTCCCCTTACCCTTATCCCCTCCTAGACCTTCCAAGGCCTTTGTCGCGGCATCCGTCGCAGCAGCATTAATATTAGGAGGACGATCAGGGGAAGTGGGCTTTGAAGGTTGGGTTTCAGGTTCAGTTCTTGTTGCCGCATTCCGGGCACGCTTATCGGGACTCCCTTGAGAATCCCCACTGATTGAAGCAGCTTCGCACTCTGCTTGCACAAGCCTCACAAGACTCACAACCGAGGACACTGAAGGATTGTAGTCCAAAGCTACCCGATGTCTGAAAGCATTCACCCGAAACCCTACCGCAGGGTACTGCGCAAGAAGACCCGATGTAGCTTGATCTATTCCCCGTAGCAATAGTGAAGGGTCTGGGAGAGATGCCCCCAACTCTCTTACACGCTGCAGGTGCTGCATCCAACGTCTCAGCATTGTCACTGCCGCCCCTACCGATTTAGCCACTTCAGGGTTCACAAGCTGATGAAGAAGCATTGCTCGCTCTGACGAGCCTCCCGGCTGATACAGGCACTGTATCCTGAAGATAAGTGCTGCCGTAGACAGCCAGCAGTTGGACACGGCTTCATCTCTCACATGACTGGGAACTGCGGCTAGGACCAATGATACGGCTCTGGACTCTACCCTTTGGTATTTGAAGACGTCGAAATGCGCTACAACATCAGCAGGGTCAAGACCTAATCTGTCTAAAGGATCCGCAACTAGCCAACGTTGATATTGGGCTGTCGCCGCAGACTCCACACTGGCATACCAACTCGCTGCAGTGGGGCTTAGCCCTGTAAAAATTTGGCGAACTTGCGCCAACCAGTTGCCGCACGTTACTGCCGACGTGGCAATGTCAGCCGATGGCAGCTTAGGCAGATCAAAGATGTACTTCGCTGGCTCCTCCGGCCTCTCCGGCATGGATGCACTGGACCCTGACTGCCCACTCAACCCTACAACCTGTCCTGATTGGGGGCAGGCCCTCGAATCGGGAGGCGGCCCTGGCGGAGGTCTGATGACAGTACCACCTGGCGAAACAGGATAGCCGTCGCTACTCACACCCCAAGTTCCCACCCCTCTGCCGCTGGACCTAGGAGTATGAAACCCTTGGCTACCCTCTATGGCCCCACCTACGGACCCTGGCACTTCACCTACCCCTTGACTTAGTACAGGAGGTTGACGAGGCATCGTCGCCGGTGCAACGAAGGATGTTGCAGCTAAGGAAGACCTCTGATATGCGTTCAGTGGCAAGTGACTTTGCAGAGATTGGCTGGCAGCTTCAGGCATGGGATGGCTCACAGCCATCATGCGGGGAGGCACAGTCTGCACCTCTGCTGCAGGCAAAGCTCTCTGGACAACAGGCTTGGGGACTGCAACAGCATAGCGATCCAAGTCGGCCCTTGCCGAAGCCCCTTCCCCGGACCCTAACCCAAACGCTTCACCCATACCTCTCACTTCTATCCCTTCACGGTGGTTGGGGAGCACCTCTGGACCCAACATCGCAAAGGGTTGCACAGCACTCCTCCACGGAGCTACTTGAGCACCCCCATGACCCGGCGTAAACGACACAGGCGAATGCTGTACAAACTCTGGCACACGCTGTACAAGGTCCGGTTCAGGGCCAGTAGCTCGCGTACCTCCACTGTGCCAGCTGGATTGCGTCTCCAACTGCGCTTGCTCCAGACGTGCCCGGAGATTCCGGTTCTCCTCCAAGACCTGTCGCAACAATGCCTCCATATCCGACGGCAAGCCCTCTGCGACTGGCACAAGCTCACGAGGATCACCGGGTAGCGGTCGACCTGTCAACCCTTCATGCTCACTCAACCGGTCGGGAAGAGGAGCAGGTTGAGCACTCTCTGCTGACGCCAGCACCTCCACTGGCCCATACTCTGTAGGCTCTGAGGCCTCCGCACGCCAACCCTGCCCCACGTCGCACTGTGCTGTTCTGGAGACCACCGCCTCAGGGCGAATCTCAGTCCGATGCTCCAGTCGGGCCACACGGACTGGTGTAGCACTGAAATCGCCTTTGCTGTAAGGCGGCTCCAGCTCCCTACCTGCCTGATTTGTATCTCCTAAGCCAGCTTCATCTATCTCCACATTGACCCGTTGGGCGTCCTGGTCCAACGTGCTTGGCCGACTCCTCAACAGGTCAATCTCCGCTTGCACCTTCTGCGAATGGAAAGGACTCGCCACAGGCTTAGCAGCTTGGCCCTGCTCTAATGCTCCAGGCGACGCCTCGCCCTGCCAGCTTCCGCTAGTAGCTGCTGTAGGATCACCACTGCCGGTTTGGCTCAAGGCTGTTTGATACGCGGTCTCAGCATGCACATCACCCATTTCTGGGTCAGGCCCAGCGCTGGTCACTCTTCTATTCTTCAAGAAGGAATCCATGGCACGCGCGATTTGGACCCCGTCACCCACACGATGTAACACTTAGACCCTGAAACCCTTAAGCTAGTCTCAAACTCTAGAGGCTATCTACGGCTGATAACCTACGTAAAGTAGGAAAAGACCCAACGGTTTTGCTTTTAGGACCACCCCCAATTGAGTTAACTGGCTAGCGGAGTTCCTACCAAACCCCCTATAACCCTACCCAAGAGGCCGGATCCATGCCTTTCTCGAACAAAAACAGCCTGCAGATGCGTACCTTGCCAGGGAGCTCACGCACTAAACCCTAAACCCTAAACCCTAAACCCTAAACCCTAAACCCTAAACCCTAAACCCTAAACCCTAAACCCTAAACCCTAAACCCTAAACCCTAAACGTCACAGCTTGCAGGCCCGAGATCTCAAACGCCCCTAAAGTCCCCTAAGCCCCAAGCCCTAAACCCCTGAGCCTCACCCCGAAACTCTTTGAGAACCCAGCCCTAAACCCTAAACCCTAAACCCTAAACCCTGAACCCTGGACCCTAAACCCCTAACCCCTGAGCCCCGCCCCCCCCCCGGCATAACCTTGGCATCCATTTGTTCTTGCTACACCATTTTTTCCGGCAACCCCACCCCATGCCTCGCTGACGCGCTCGTTCCAAAGCTCCTCCAGCTCAAGGTTTAGGGTTTAGGGTTTAGGGTTTAGGGTTTAGGGTTTAGGGTTTAGGGTTTAGGGTTTAGGGTTTAGGGTTTAGGGTTTAGGGTTTAGGGTTTAGGGTTTAGGGTTAAGGGTTTAGGGTTGAGGAGGCCCTAAACCCGAAACCCGAAACCCTAAACCCTAAGCCCTAAACCCTAAACCCTATAACCTAAACCCGAAGGCCCTCAGTCCTCTAGGGGTTTTGTATGGTTCTACTGCTTTGAGGGGTCTAGGGCTGGATCCTAAGGCCTAACCGCTGAGGTTGGGGTTGGGAGCGGTTAAGGTGGGTCACCACGTAGACTTCTCCGGCTGAACGCAATATACTCAACCTTACACCCCAAGCCTCAATACCCAACCCTCAAAACTCTGAAACCTGGCATACCTCTCCCACCCCCCTCAAACTTAGGGCTTAGGGATTCGGATTCGGAACCTTTCCTATAGCAACGCCTGAAGAGGCTGTGAGCCTTCGAACCCTACCCACACAAGAAATGTCCCAAGACCACCTCAAGAAGTCATTTTGCTCGCGGAGCTTTGAGGCTTGTTATACCTGGGTTTAGGGTTTAGGGTTTGGGGTCTGGGGTTTAGGGGTTTTGGCACAGCCCACCAATAAGCACATACACATACCCTGCATCAATACCAAATGCACAGCCATTTTTCGCTGCCTAGATATCTAAAAAGTCAACCAGCAATCCACCAACCTTGTTTACCCCCGAAGCCCTACACCCTCAACATTAAAGCCTTAAACCCCAAAACCCTACCTACAACCTAACCCTAAGAAGCCTAAAACCTAATACCCTACAAGCCCTAAAACCCTAACCACCCCAACCCCTCAAACACCGGAGAAGGCCTCGGCAGCAGGCGCTGATTCTTCGAACGACAACGCTCCCTTTTGCTTCAAGTACCTTTGCAGCTTCTTCACCCTAAACCCTAAACCCTAAACCCCAAACCTCAAGCCCTAAACCCTAAACCCTAGTCTCGTTTCGGGTGTTTCAGCTTTAGGGGACCTGTGAAAATAATGTACTCTTAGTACTTCCGGGTACATAAGAAACTCCCCGATTCAGAGGGAACTGCCGTTTTCACAAAACGTCTTCGGAAGACAAGGGGAGCGCCTAGGCAAGGGGAGCGCCTGGGCATTAGGCATACCTCGGGCTTGGTGTTTAGTGTTCTTTTTTGGCTGCGGACCTTGGCTTATCAAACGGTTTAGAGTTCGGGGTTCCCCGAGTATTGGATTTTCACAGCAAGTTAGAGCTCCACAGGGTTTTAGCGGTGCCGGGGCCCCGCGAACTCGCACGCGCCCACCTCGCACGCCCTTGAAGGAACAGGGCACCTCCTTTTGGGTTGAGGGTTTAGGGCTTGGGGCCGCAGATTTCTTGTGTTAAAGCGTAGACCTCTCTGAACCCTAAACACCACACCACGAAGTGGGCTTCCAGGCTGAAACATGACATGAAAATCACAAGAAACAAAGTAAAACGTTTTGATTCGTGGCTGGCTGCTCCACCAGAGCAGCGTCGTCTCCGTCTGCCTCTCGCAGTGGTTTAGGGTTTAGGGTTCGGCTTGAGGGGCGTGGGTCCCACACAAGGTTCTCTCAAAAGGGCTTGTGTGATGAGCAACAGACGCACCCCCAACCTAAACTTATAGGGTGGTTAAGGGAGGGGAGGTTCAAGGGGGGTAGGTACCGAAAAAACCTTAGAGACCTTAGGGAAGCTTAGGGAGTTGAGAGTGCGTAAAAAGCGCATCCCCCCCCCCCTCCCCCCCTCTCACCGCATAAACTCACGGACCATAGGCGCACAGGACATAGGGGCGCTTTGGGAAAAAAAACGCACCCCCCTCCCTCCCCCCCCTCCCCCTCCCCCCCCCCTCCCCTCCTCCCGCCCCCTCCCCCCCCTCCCCCCCCTCCCCCCCCTCCCCGGGGTAGGGGGGGGGGGGAGGGGGGGAAGGGGGGGGGGGAGGGGGGGGGGGGAGGAGGGGGGGGGGGGGGGGGGAAAAAATAGGTGAAAGGAGGCTTCTCAGGTCAGGGCTCAGGGTCTGAGGTTCTGGGTTCCTTATTCGTTTTTTCTTACTTCGCTTCCTTCTTCGTTCTCTCTTTCTCGTTCCCTGTTTCGTTTTTCTTCACATCTCGTTTTTTCTCTCTAAAATTCTGCTTGTCTCATTCGTTATTTTTTCTGGGGCTTCGTGTTCCACCTTGTTCGTTCTCATTTTGTTAAGTACTTTTACCTTCACTTTTCATTTTGTGGGTGCCTGTTGTGGTTTTTCAACAATAACATTATATAATGGATAATATTATGGTTGCTTATTCGGTTTTATTCAAAGAATATTAAATTTCAACCATTCCATTAAATCATGAAAGACATGACGTTTATTTAGATATGTAATTATCATAGAAAATATTTTTAAATAATTAAGTAAGAAATATTTTAGTTCAATATCATCATGGTTATCATAGTATTTAACATTGTATGTTTCAACTAACAATTTTTTCAACTCTGCCAACTTATCCTCATTGAAGTAGTGGTTATATACATCTTCAAATTTATCATGTACCTTTTTATCATACAACTCGCTGTATTTAGCATAAAAATCAGTTGGATACATTTGAACTTCATCCTTATAAGCATTACAATAAATAGTTACAATACTCAAATTAGTTATACCCTCTCAACACGTTTAATATTATATCTCTATGTTTAGGATAGTCATTATTTCCAACTAAACCATATATAAGAACAGAAACGTCATACTCTAAATATCTCATTCTATCAACACAATTAGTACAACCAATATAAGAAAATATGTTTTCATTAACACCATCAGAAAATACATTGAAATTATTTCTAAGTTGATAACGTATTAACTTACAGTTATTACAATATTTAATATCATCATGTATTAATTTACGACCATACTCAATTTCTTTTTCAATGTTATAACCTACTGTTACAATACTTCCGGTATCACTTTCGGTATCACTCATTATTTCCCTAATATATTAAGGCGTTTTCCCTTTAAGTAGTTTTTCTAAATTCCTAGGGCTCACTTTTCAACAATAATATTATCTAGTGAATACTTTTATGGTTGCTTATTTATTTTTAATCTTCTTCTTCAAAAATATCGTTTAAATATTCATATATAGCTTTTAAATCAAAATATTTTCTGTAAAGACCTACTTGTTTCTGAAAATAAAGGAAAAGAATTGATACCATAATTCTACATATCGTTTCTTCATATTGACTTCTATATTTATACGTCTCACCTTCAAAGTCCCATTTGTCATAGAGATAAAAGATGTTATAATCCAACAACCAAAACATTCTATATTCATCAATCATTTTTATGTTTCTTGACTCATTCAAGAACTTCTTTAACAATGGTTTTAATTCAGTTTTTGATTTATCTACAATGTCTTTCAAATAGTTCTTCTTATCTTTTAAATTTGTTAGTTTCTTGTACCCATTGTCAAAATGATTTAATATACAATGTATTTGTCTATGTTCTACCCTTTTATAATTGGGGTATAATATGAATCTGTAGTCATCATGTGTTCCATCATATTCTTTTTCACACTCATGCATTTTATGACAAAAGTTACAAGTTGTATAAGACAAGATGTTATTAGTAATATTACCATCAAATAGTTCATTTAATATTATCTCTCTTCTACTCTTGTAACTGATACAATACTTACACTCAAAATTAAAATTAAATGTTTCCATGCTCTAATATATTAAATCGTTTTCCCTTTAAGTAGTTTTTTCTAAGGCTTATTGTTGTTTGCATTTTTCAGTCTTCATATGCCTCGCCATTCCACCTCGTCTAACAAATACATTGCATTTGGAGCATCTTATCTTTTCGTTAGCCTTTTGTTTTATTTTCTCTCTGTTTGCTTCTCTATATTCGGCTTTCTTTTGGTTGATTTGTTCTTTGTTTTCTTCTCTATATATCCTACAGTTCTCATTTACTTTTTCTTTATTATTCATATAATATGTTTTTCGTCTCTGTTTTATACACTCTTTGTTGTTTTGTCTATACATTAATTGATATTCATGAGATGGTCTTCCCATAATTTGGCGATTTACTGTTCCTAGTTCTTGTATAACCTGTCCTTCCCTTCTTAAAAGTTCCTCTTTAGTTTCACACGGATAGTCTTCAATAAGTTGAATGTAAAAGTGTTCTGTACCTAATTCCATCATTTTATTATAAATGCTACAACGTTTATACTTACTATTGTCTTTTAAGTTTTTCTTATGGTCATTAAATCTTTTGATTAACAATTGAGTTGTACTCCCAATATAAACATCATCATTGATATTATTCTTTATAGCATATATTTT